GGCAGTCCCTGCCATTTGCTTGCTAAGGAGAAGACGGCCGCGGCAGCCCCTGGCCTGCCTGTTTGCTGGATAAATTTTTTCTTTTTTTTTTTTTTCTTTTTTTTTTTTTCAATTTTTTTTTTTGTCATTATTGGTTTGTCTCGCTCGCGCGTTTCCATAGGAGGCAGCGGCGGCGGCTGCTGTTTCGCCCCCATCCACTGCATCTCTCTCAGGTCGCGCAGTGGGTTCGCATAGACATATATATCTATAGGTCGCGCTATGCCAACGAGTAGATGGCGTTGACTGGGGAGGTGGCTTCCGAGCTCTCGTTGCCTTCCGTCTCCTCCTTGTCCTTCTTCACCGTGTACTGGCCGATGAAGGAGCCGTCCTCGTTAAACTGCCCCTCGCCCCCCTCGCCGTAGTCCACCAGACTGTCGTCGCTCTCCTGCTGCTTGATGGTGCCGTCCAAGGAGGTCTGGCTGTTGGGCAGCGGCTTGTTGTCCTCGTCGCTGGGTGGCACAAGACAGACAGACACAGCGAGAGTTGAGCAGCGGGGCTCGCAACGGGGACACGCTTAAAAATCCAGGGCTGGATATTCAGGATTGATCCGGGGTGGGCAAATCGGCTGCAGGTGCCGGTGTTATACGTTATAAATATCCCTTCCTTGTCATGAGTTATGCTCTTTTCCTCCTCTCTGCGTTTCACCCAGCTCATTCCACTCTTTCCTGAGGTCGGATTTCAGGTTTCCGGGTAAAAACACACTGTCTAGTTTAGGTATTTGCATGCACCGGGGAAGCTTTTCAAAGCACTGCAAGGGGGCATATATAGGATGCCAAGTTCTTTGCAGCTCCAAAATGAGAATTTACCTTTCCAAGCTTATTTCTGAGCATCTAAGCTTGTTTGTTCAATTCGTTTCCCCTCTCCCTCCCTTTTTTTTTTTTTACTGGAAAGATTAAGCCAAGTCACTGAAAAAAATACATAGTTTGACCCATAGGAAAAAAAAAATCAAGCCTTTAGAGAAACCCTTTTTAAAAATGGGGCAAATCTATGTTTTCTAGGGAGGGTAAGGACTTGTGTTTCATAAATACAGATCATCTCGCACTGAGGACGAGAGTGGATTGCTATATCTAAAACCTGATTTTGGTATCAGCCAGTTGTGAGCTCGTGTTTGATCCCACATCCAGCAGGCAAATTGGGCGCTACTCCCCAGGACGTCATGAACCGACCCAAACCCACCCACTCTTTCGGGGTTTTTTGTCTCATTTTTGAGCTCAGGACTTGCAAAACTTGCTCCCCGCTTTGGCACGTTACTTGCTGCTTTATTTTCCTTAAAACTGGGCAAACTAGCAGCCACTTGCAGGTTTTATTTGTGGCGGAGGAGCCCCTTGCTTGGGCTGCAGGGGCGCTTGGTGCCCCCCTTGCCTGGTAAAACTCGCAGCTTTAGCTCTCGTTTCGGTGCCCCGGCACTCTGTAAATTCAGACTAATACAAAACCGCCCTCGGAGGGCTTGTGTTAACTTGGCATCACAATAAAAACAGACTTGTTAGCTTTGTAAGCAGCTCCTTTTGGGGAAAGAATCGGTCTGCAAGCGGGACCGCCGGTTAGGAAGGGCAAGAAGTGTCAAGCAGAGAGTGGCAAAACCCAAATGCTTCTGTCTGAAAGGTCCTTAGGGTCAAGTGGAGCTCAATCTAGAGCCAGATTCTCCCTAACGAGGGGGTTTGCGGTGCCAAAGCCCAGGCAGTGAATGTCCCAAAGCCGGTTTTGGGTTTTACCCCCCTGGTTTTACCCCTCTCCATCAGTCTGTCCTACTAGTGCATTAGGAGGCTGAAGCAGGTGGGCAGCAGCAGCTGGGGGTGACACCCCCCGGTTAAAAAGGGATTTCTGTGGGATTTGGTGACACGTGTGTTAGAAATCCAGAGCCCCCCGCATTGAAACCAGTTGGGGAGGGAAATGTACGGAGCATTTCCAAGCAAAATGCAACTTTCCCGGGACGTGAGGGCCGCCCCGGAGTCAGCGCGAGTTAGACGGAGCTGGTTTAATGGGTTAGGTGGGAACGGGGAGAGGGAGGGGAAGAAATATTTTCAGCTATGAAAGAAAATTGCTAGAAGGAAGGAGGAGAAAAATAAAAATAATAATAAAAAAAAAGCTAAATGTGCCGGACTTCTGGCAGCACGTGGTCCTACCTTTCAAGAGACCTTCATGGTCCATGTGGATAGACCAGGTGAAAAGGAGAAGAAAGAATGGGAATAAAACAGAGAGAAGCAGAAAGAGCCTGATCAGAGAGAGATATGATGAGGTATGCATTCACAGGGGCAGTGCTTTTCCAAAAGAAAAAAATAAAAACAAAAAAAGGGGGAGGGAGGGAAAGAAAAAAAGTCACTGCATTCCTCATGGAGCCGGTTGCCTCGTTATACCAAATGGAGCTGGGAGGTTGTCCGGAGCGGGCTGAGCCGTGCTGGCCTCCCTAAGCGAGCTCCCGGGCTTAAACAGGGCCGTGAAACCCAAGGGACCCGCTGGGATGGGGCCGAGTGAGCGGAGCTGCCTCAGCCTTCGTCCCTCTGCTGGGTCTTCCTCTTGGGCACGAGGGCGCCGGCGATGCCGAGTGCTCCTGCCCGCACCGCTCTGGACCTCTCCTGCCCTCCCCAGCGCTCGGATGCGTGGCCAGGATCCATCCAGCTCTCCATTTCCACTGAGACGGCCACATAGGCAGCGGCTGGTGCTGCTTTCAGAGGCCGCCGGCCTGAATTGGGTCTGAACTGGAGCCCGGATGGTAAAAAAAACCCTCAAGTTCCCCTTGCCAACGGCCCCCGTTCCCGCCGACTCCCCCACGTGCTTAAACATTTGGTATAATGAGGCCCAGTCACTGGCACAGAACATTGGCCAAGGATAATGGTGCCCTGCGTTGCAAAGAGGCTTTGCAGCTTAGCCTCTGCCCGGGCAAAACCATTATTCTGTTAGTGGCACAGAAAGAGGTGACAGTGTCTCCTAATTACAGGCTGCCGAGATTGGGAAGTTGGCATGCACGGGGCATTGAGGACGGGAGGGATGACGAGAGCGTCTCAGACATGCCATGGGGAGGTGGGAAGGGGGGCCGGCGAGGAGCTCACGTCAGCTCGGATCCCGTCCTCGCTTCAGATCCTAATTGCTCCCTTCCTTGAGCGTAACATTGCAATCATTTTGCATCTTAATCAGCCAACAGCATTTCTGTATCAGTCCTTCAAGCTCACCTTCCTTTCTGCCTCCTTGAGGGAAGCTGCCTTCCTATTGCCTCTCCCAGGAAGCCTGTTGATCCCGGGAAGGAGCAGGGATTTTTTTTTCTGTTTGCTCTTGGGTTTTGCTTCATTTTTTTTGCCTTTTCTTCCCCATGGGACAGCGTGATTGAAAACAGCGGGTGTTTTGGAGCTGGCTGCAAGCTCTGCCCCCAGTTGGGTAGCTAGAGATGTCTTCTCTCAGGGTCACATCCACTATGAGGAAGGGGGCAAAAAGCTCAGCCCTGTGGACCATGACCCCCACATCGCTGCCCACGTCATAAACATGGGTTATTCCTGTGGAATGATGTCCACGTTGCCTGTTGGCACCTTTCTTCTGCCTTCTAGCTCTTGGGAATGAGGTTGTCCAGACGTGTTCAGGCTTCAGCTAAGTGGGAGCCACTGGGCCATGGGGAAGAGCATTCCCATGGCATTCCTGCCCGCCGCCTGCCCTGTCATTGAGCTCCCTGCGTGGTGCATTCCTGAGCATTCCTGAGCTCATCCCGGCGCGCCGTGAGCCGTGCTCGGAGCTCGGCTCCCTTCTCTCTACGGAAGTGACTGTGTGTTGGCAGAAAAAGCATCTTTCTCTCCTGTAATTACGTCGCTGGAAACACCCTTCCGTGTTCCCCATGGGACAAGGAGCAGACGGGCAGGTGTGTCCCGCGCTCCAGGGCCATCCATGGCTCCTCCACCCGTGTGGGAATGTGCCTGCCCATCCAGCTGCACTGGGAGGACCCCGCTCCAAGGCTCCCAGTGCCACTTGTCACCACTAAGAGCAACAACTGGACCTAGCAGGGAAGGAGAAGGAGTTCTTGCTGCTCACATTGCTGCTCTCTGGGATTTATCTGTAGTCTGCATCGTTTCACAGGCCTTGGAGAAAACTGGGGAGCTTTGGCTTACGGCTCCCTTCGGAAAAGCCCAGTCACTACTGCAATGTAATTACAACGCTGCTAATGATGTAAGCCTGACATCCTGAAGAATGCAGTTCCTCTACCTTTCCTTTATATCTTAGGGTGCAGGTGGATCTATTCACTTTGCTCATTTAAGGGCTTTGGTGGAGCACGTGTGGCTTACTGCATGTCTTCTGAATTGTAAATAGACCCTTCCCATCTTTGCTGTCTCGATTTGAGTACTGGTAATGACATACGGTTTAATTAACCTCTGCTTTCAAGTCGGGAGGAAAACACTTCCTAGCCTAATTGGGCTTTGGATTCAGCTCGGACAGAAAGGTGCCTTGTAATTTCTTAGAGAAAAGCAAAGCATAAAACCTGGGAATATCCAACCCAGGCATCAGCCAAGCATGGATCCGGCACCTCTTTCTATTCCTTGGAAGTCACAAGGAGATAAAGAGGAGGGTGAGGGTGGCGCTGAAGGTGAGCGGGTGTGGAGAGCACTTGGTTTGAGGTAGGTGGGGAGTCTGGAGGCAAAGCAGATGCTCTGCTCCGAAGGACGTTGTGCTGGGAAGAGGCTGGTCAGACGGTGGTGAAAGCAGAGCTGGCAGGGCAGAGTCCACTGAAGAGCCATTGTAGGGTTCCCTTGAGCATCCTCCAAAAAAGGCTAGGCCTGGACCCCTAAATAAACACCCTTAAGTGCTTTTGGGGCTGATCTAAGTATAACTTGAGGTGTTTCTGTTCTGGGCGCTGCCTTACAACTAGGAGAGAGGCTGAGCTATAGTTGAAATTGCCTCTGGCTGCTTCAGAGTCAAGTGTGTGTCATTAAGGTGGAGTCTCCTTCTCTGGAGGTCTCCAAACCCGCCTGGATGCCACCCAGTGCCACATGCTCTGGTGTCCCTGCTGGAGCAGGAAGGTTGGACTAGGTGATCTCTGGAGGTCCCTTCCAACCTCAACCACTCTGTGATTCTGTGAAGGTTGATGTGCACCTGGTGAGAGCTGCGTCCCAAGCAGCTGGTGTCAGCCCCATGTCCCTGTCTGGACACATCCTCCCAAGAGGAGGGACAAGGAAAGAAGGAAACCACGAGAGCACCTTCTCAGACTGGCAACTTTTCCTGGATTTCGGGCAAGGAAACGTCCCCTTTGGTAGAGAACTTGCTGAGAGAAGGAGGCAGGAGGAGGGAGAAAGACCTTCCAGGATGGTGTGGGGCACCTGGGCGCTGGGGTTATGGGGAGAGGGGGCAGCAGTGAGGTCTGTGATGGCTGCAGAGCGGGGCGGATGGGGCAGGGGGGGCGCAGGAGCACACATGCCACGGGGGCACGTACCTGTAGTCGAACGACCCATCTTCCACGTTCTTGTCCTCGGGATTGAGGTGCTCGTCCTTGTTATCTCGCACTGCGTAAGCAAGCACATGGCCAACATTTATGATAAAACCCAGGGTAAAAACTAGAGGCACCAGGGCACAAGACCCCGAGGGGGCTAGAGAGGATATATTAATTGAGGAACCAGGGCTAGAGAGGATATATTAATCGAGGAATCTTCCTAAGCTGCCTTATCATTGCTTTGCAAAAAGTTAATGAGATTTTTGCCAGAAAAGATCTTTTTTTTTTCTAGAAGACGCTGAGCAAATGGGCAGATTTTCAGGTCAGGCAGCACAGGAGAGCCCGGCTCTGCTGCACAGCACGGAGAACTCGCCGAGCTTTAATTCACCAAAATGCTTCCCACTAATCATAGCGTTCATTCTAGGGAGGAAGAGAAGCCTTTTTAATCACAAGCATCTATCTGAGAGCACTGCAATTGGATTAGCTCCTGGAAGCCTGGAGAAGCTGAAACCCCAAGCCTGAAAAAATTGCTGTGTGCGGTGCTCTTACCTGGGTATTTTCCGCCTCTGCTTCTCTTAATGAAGCAGACGATGAGGAGGATGAGAACCAGGAGGGCTATGGCACACATCAGCCCGATGAACCAGCCTTGGGTTGCGATGTCCACCTGGTTCTTGGTGTAAGCTGGAGAAGTTGAAAGGACAAAAAGAAACCCGTAAGGGACAGACCACGACAGCAGGGAGGAATAAACCGCTAGGAAAACCTCAGTCCTTCTGTTTAGAAGGATGCATTTTAGGCAGTGTATTTGTGTGTGGGAGTGTGTTGGGCAGGTTGTCCGAGGGTGTAACACAGGAATGTGGTTTATGGCTTTTTTTAATGATAGATCAACGCAGCTTTTGAGCAATAGCTACGCACAGCAAAGGGCCACAACATAAAGTAAAACCTAGCACAGACCAGTGAGAAAAACGCATTGAAAATAACGTCAAAAGAAGCTGGGTAACAGATTTGATCTTTCCTTTCCGGTGCCTGAAAGCAGCCCTGGAGTTGGCTGCCGTGCAAAGCGCAGAAATAAACCTGCCCGAGCAATGGCTAAAAGACTGAATCCCTGCCATAAAGTTGCCTGGAAGAGCACCATGAAATCCAGAGGGTTGCTGAGCTCTGCAGTGCTCATTAGCAGCCTCGAGCGGGGGGAAATCCTAATTCTTGGGGTCCACTGGGGACAGGGACGATAGGGAAGAGCTCTGCAGCCCGTGTCCCTTTGTGTGCACGCGAGGGTGGCCGAAGTTGTCACCCCAAACTAGAAGAAGCCAGAGATGGTGCTCGGCCGGCTGTAGCCATCGCTTGTGAGCCATGGCACGTGCATGGGCCATTGGGGTGGGCAGTGCCAGCCGGTAGGAATGAAGGCAATGGAGACCATCACAGTGGGCATCTCTTCACTAGCCTTGGGTTCCTCACTGGCTCAGGAAGGAGACGTGAAGGCCCAGCAAGACTTGGCCAAAAGGTGAGCGATGGGGACGCGGTGGCGGCTGCAGAGCCCCAGTTGGCGGCAGGTCTTTGACCAAGGACAACCGGGTGCCAAAAGGCTGAGCTGTGGTCTGACAGCCCTGAAAAGTCCTACCCGGCTGCTAATGGCCACGTTCAACCACTCGTACCCTGAGCTGTTATTTGCAGCATCCCTACGCGGTCAGACGGACAAATCCAGGCCCTATAAATAGCAACAAGCTGCCGTTTTCTGGCTCTCATTGACATGCACACGGCATTCAGCAAGACGGAGCAGAGGAGAAAATAACCTTCAGGGCGGCAGGGGGGCTTAATTTAAGCAGCCTGCAGCGCAAATCGAGCGAGGTATTCCTGGCAGGAGCGAGGACTGGGCGGGAGGGAGCTGGGATTTAGCAGGGGGTTGCCCGAAATGGGAAATACCGTGCAGGGAGCATTATTTTATGGATGCTCAAGTGACAAAAACCAGCTTCAAATGAGATCTCTGCTGCTGGTCGTAGCTGGTCTTGGCTGCTCTGGTTTGCAGTGCTGCAGGATACTGTAAGGGCCACACTATTGTCTTTATTGTGTTTTACTGCTCAATTATTTAAGTGAACGCAAGCCATCCCTCCTCTCCAACCCACATGGATGTGAAAAGATGTGAAAAGGCCCTTCCCGTGGCTCAACTCCACACACAGCTGCAGAACTTGAGTGGGTGACTTTGTTAGTCACCATATGAGGTAAAAAAAAGCATTTTCCCCACCCCAGTGCATCTATCTGAGCAGCTCAAGCTGAGGGGCTGTGAGCGGTACAAGCAGTGACAAGCCAGCTCTGAACATCCTTTTGCAGAGGGCTCTGAGCACATCGTGCCCGGGAAATGGGAGAGAATTGGATTTAAAATCCGCCAAATCCTGCACGAGGAGCCGTAACGGAGGATCGGCCCCGCGTTGTGCCCCTACTTGGCTTTTAGAAACATGAATACATATATTTAGCGCATAAAGAGTACATAAAGAGGCCAGAGAAGGGAGGGTTATTCAGGGAAGCTACGACCAGATGCAGTTTTTCAGCCTCCCCATCCCAAATCCAGAGGCCTCTGGACCAGGGTCCAGCTCCTCAATTCCCGCCTCGATGCTGCCAGCACCGACTGCCTTTCACAGCATTTTTAGGAACAATCTTCAGCTTCTGCCTTTGCTACAGCCTGGCCCAAGATTTGTGAGTGAGATCTTTACAAAGGGTCCTAGGCCTATGGCAAAAACCATCCTCATCATCTTCATCACGGCATGAACTTCTCCTGCAGAAGTAGCCTTAGGTACCGACCTCCTAGGGAAGATGGGGTAGAGGTTGGTTGTGTAATTTGGCCCTTCTGCTGCTTTTCCCTCTAATGCTGCTCCATTTAATATTTACCTGAGCTAACCAGCCCTCCAAGATGTACTTAAAACGGAGAGAATGAGATTACCCCGGAGCGGGGCTGGCAACTGGATTCAATTAACTGAGTGCTGGGGGAGGAAGGGGGAATAAATCTGAGCCTTGAAATGGGAGATTGTATCAGCAATCCCGCCAGGATATTGTCTTTAAAAGGCAGAATGGAGGGGTTCGTCGAGCGCCAAGGCAGCCCGCGGCGGCTGCTTGGTGCCACCGTGCACATTGAGGCTGCTCTTTGCACGGCGGCGAGCGTTTCGGGTGCCGAGTCGCTCGGGGACCTTGCGGTAGGATCGCGGCGCATCATCAAGGTGCAATTATAATTGCCGTCCCTCCCGAGAAAGGCGCTCGTGACGACAAAAATGACAGTCGCGGCGAGCTCGTATTTAGAGGAAACGAACGCCTGTCGTTGCGGCGCGCGGAGGGAGAAGATTAAGGCTGAGGATGTTTTGATTTGCTCTAATGTAAGGGCAGCGCCAAGGGTAAATAATAGGAAGCAGCTGTGGGATGGAACAGGTATTGAGTTAAAAGCAACTGCAGGAACTGGTTTCTTTTTAATTAATTCTAATCTTTTGATAGAAAACACCTGGCATCTAATAGTCATGGCCTGTGTGCCACTAAAAAGGTCTGACTGTAATCCACTGGTGAAAGATCAGCAAAAACATATGCTTTTTTTTTGTAGAGCTGACTTTTGGGTTAGTTATAGTGATTATTCATGTAGAAGTGCTGTAGATCAGAGGAAGTTTTACTGCATTTTTCACTAGAAAAGCTGGGCTTCAAAGATCCCTGGGATAACCAAGTCTTCTGTCCTTCCATGCCTGACTCTTGGCAATTTTTAGCTCTTTGAAAATCATTTCTTCTATTTGGGTGGCTATAATTTTCAGGATAGCCTGGTGCAGAGCTGGCAGCTAAGTGTTCAGGCAGAGATGCAGCCGGGGAATCTTGCATTAATGCCTACGGTGAAACCCTGGAGTGAACCCTGAGCAAGCCGTCGCTATTTCCATTTCCTGAAGCTCCCCAAGCGTGACCAGCGACGCCGTGCAAACACAGAAAGCCTCCTTCCGTGCCTGGGGAAGTCGGGCTTTCCGTGGCATCCAGTGGGCAGCCTCGGAAGCCTGAGCTATAGGCTGAGGATGCTATAGGATGCTATAGGCTGAGGATGCTATAGGATGCTATAGGCTTAGGATGCTATAAAAATCACCCAGGTGCTAGAGCTGGAAAATGGCTCGCGTAGCGAGATGCCAAGTTGCCAGAGGAAACATTCCAGGTATCCCTTCCCCTCTGGAATGCCCTGTGCGTGACTGTCACCAGGGCCTGGTGCAAAGGCGCCGTGTCCCCGCTCCGCGGCACCGTCCCGTCCGCCGCAGCCCAAGCGACGCCCGCAGTGCCGAGCGCCGACGAGGGGACACACCAGCGGGCAGACCTGCTCTCCACCCTCATTGGAAGCCCCTTTCCGATGGCTGCGGTGGCAATAGCAGGATTGAGGGGGGGGGGTCCCTTTGCTGCGCAGGGTGGCACGGCCACGCGGCGCTCCAAGGTGGCTCTTCAGCACGGCCACAGCTGGCGGGGACATCGGCCCATGCAGGGACAGCGGCGGGGACGGAGCGACGCGCGCGGGCGCCCTCTCACCTGAGCTCGTCGTAAAGGTAATGTAAGAGTGCTCGCTGGGGCTAGACCATATGGGGAACACCCACAGCTTGTACATCATGCCCGGCGTCAGGTTAGCCAGCTGCACCGAGGAAGGGGTCTGGGCTTTAACCGGGATAGATCTCTCGGTCTTGTTACCTGAGGAACAGAAACCGCACATCAAACCCGGCGGGCCGCAGCGTGCGGGGGCATCGCAGCGGCCGAGCAGGGACAACGCGCCGCGATGCCACCGGCATCTCCGGCCGCGTTCCTCACGCGGGGCAGAAGGGAAGAGGCCACCTGAGAATATGGGGGTTTTTTGCTGCATCCCTGCTGGGAGCACTGGAAAATGGGAGTATGGACAGCTCTCCAGCACTCTCCCTACTCCTGGGTCCCTTTTTGGCTGGAAGCGCGGCCTGGGCTTTCCAGCCTCACGATGCAGGGGGCAGCTCGGGCGCTTGGTGCGCGGACCCCGGGTTACGGGAGAGGATTCACGTGGTCTCGCTCCTAACTGGAGCCCAGACTTTGCTGCACGAAGGCTGGAGATTTTGGAGCGAGGACGGGCCTTAGGGGAAGTGCTTTCAAGTAGAAGGCGCATTTCTCTCTTAAACAATGTTGTAAGTAACCAAAAGCAGCTCAATGCCAAGAACTCTGTGCAATGAGTTTCTTTTAAATGCCTCTTTCGAACCGACCGTGTGAGGGCTGAAATAGCTGGGACATAAAGTCAGAGCTAAGCAGCCTTTGCCTAGCTCGTAGCAAAACAACCCCCCAGCAGCGGGAGAACATCTTTTTGAAACAAGGACTAAAAGGCTTGAGCTCCCAGCCTAAGCCTAGCCTTGCAGCTTTAAGCGACACGTGGTATCTGTCAGGCCAGGAGGTTTGGGTCATAGAGAATTCTGCCAACTCCAGGTTCCAAAAGGCCCCTGCGCTTTCTTTAAAACTCTCCTCCAGTTTATGCAGGCCTTATTTGCCTTTCCTTAAAGATTTGTCCCCCTTCACATATATATATATATATATATTCCTCTCTCGTGCTCCGTGTGGTCCGTGGCATCATTCCACACTCAGATTGCCTTGGAGGTGGGGTTGAAACGCTGGGAGCTGGCAGGATCTCTAAGGGCATCGCCCCCCGGTAGAGTCCCCACGCGATCTGATGCTTACTGGTGATATACTTAACCACAAAGTCAGTTCCTGCAGAGTAATTGTGGCTCCAGGTGATGTTTGCCCAGTTACTATTAGCCAAAGCTCTTATGTCCCATATGGACGATCCATTGGTGGCTGGTGGACAGGTTAGAAGAGGAGTTAGTATTTTAGGTTAGGCACGAACGGGACCTCATCTAGCATCTGGCACTGGTTAAAATCTTACGGGATCATTCCTAAGGATCACATCTCTACCTTTAGCCTATGACGATGCCTAAGGAAAGATGCATTTGTCATAAAATCCCCGATTTTAAACCTCCAAGGGAAGCGGCGTAACAAGACCCAACTTTTGGGGTCTTAAACAACAACCAACTGTTATTTAAGCCCGACTGCTCTCAGCTTCTCTCTGCAGTCCTAAGCAGGTTGTGGCCCTTCTGGGAGGGCCTCAGCCCCTAGGAAGATCCCCTGGCTCCACTGGTGCCCAAAGGCCGGCGCGAGCCGCAGGCACGAGCGCGCACGGGCCACTCGGCACGCGCGGAGCGGCGCTGCGCGTCCCGGGAGCTGCACGGCAGCCAGCGGGGCGGCCAAGTCACTCGTTTCTGATTTTGAAGCTGAGCAAAGGCGACAGCGCAGGAACTGCTATTTCGAGCAACATCGAGCTAATCCACTACCTTAGCGTGCATATACGTGACTGAACAATTGACACCTTAGCCTCCTTCTTTTTGTTGTTCCCGGTGGCGTTTTTGTATTTGCATTTATTTATTTATTTATTTATTCATTTATTTACTTTTAACTGCAGCAGTTGCTCTGCTTTTTGGCGTGGCCCAGCGCAGATTAGTAGCTTCAGCCGCTGCAACGAGGGCAGCTACCCGGTGTGTAAGAAATTGCAAGGGAGAGCCCGGTGCTGGGGAGATCAGGAGAACGTGACCTAGAATCCGCGGTGCAAAGGCGCCGGGCGCCTGCCACGCCGCTTCCCTGTCCGCCTGCATTACGGCTCGGGCTCTCTGCGCGTGTCCTCGGGCTGCCCCGGGACACTCGCTGCTCCCCTTTCATTTCCTCCCGTTTTAGCTTCTCCCTACTGGTTTTAGCTTCTTAACCTACAGGTTCCTCGCCCTGGTTTGTGGCAGTGTCCCCTCCCGGGGAACGGCTGGCTTTGGGTTAGGGACAGTTTCTCCTGCGCTTGCCGAACGCAGCTGCGTCACAGCACAAATCTTGCAACGCTGCTTCAGCACCAAGCAGTTATGCACAGGGATATGTTGCAGCCGTAACCCTTGATCCAGTTTTAAATTGATTTGGGGCAAAAAACCAGGCAGCTCCTTGCAGGGGTGCCACTTATTTGCAACTGAGCCACTTTGCTTGGCACCTCACCGCACAGTGGCATTTCTCACCTGCAGACTGCAGCTTTTCTTAAGCAAATGAGTGCAGCGCAGGAAATGTGCTGCTAATTCACAGACCTCCTGCACTGCAGAGAACCTTTCACATGGAGGCAGGGCCTGCTTGCATTTTTTTTTTTAACCATTCTGAGCTAATCTTATGTAAGAATGTAAAGCAAGAGGGCTGAAGTGCTTTAAATTCCTTGCGTTAAGTGGGTGTCAACCCTGGTATTCATTATTATTAACTCCTTTCTCTCTCCACTCAAAAATAACAGGCATTTGTGTAACTTTTGTGGTTGTGTTTTGGAGCCTATATTATCCAGCAACACAGTTGAAGTCTTCTGATTATGCTCCCTTCTGTTATTAGCTATCTTTTTAGTAACTGAAGTATAACTATCCATCTAATTATCCATTAACTGCAGTTATTGCAGTGTTTGCTAAAGCCAGGCTCATAGAGACGCATCTCTGCCTATGTATCAGTAAACCACATATAGGAATAGGCGTCCCCAAAAAGGAGCTGGCTCCTCCTGTGCTAGCTGCTTGCGTGCTCAAGTTATCCTGGCCGCCTAAATCCCGGGAATACACCTGCGTGCTGTAATTTTAGCCACTTTCCTGTGGGCTATGGCTGCGTTGCATTACAAAGAGCAGCAGCACGAACCACAAGACTCCTATAAGCGGTGACAGCTCTCTCGGTGACAGCTGACGTGCTAGATTCAAAGCGACATCTTCTCTAATAACAACCCCCTTTTCTTCACAGCACTAAGAGCCGGTGCAACCATAACCCTCCTAAGAGCTTCCTTAGGCTCCTCCACCTCATTCCCAAATGCTCCTGTGACTTGAGCATCCCCCGGGAGGCTGCATCATCCCCGGGACTCGGGCACAGGGCCCGAGACCAGGAGGATGCCCCAAAGAGGAGCAGACCCCAAACTCCCCGGGGCCGCCGGGACCCTTCGTCCCCGCATCTTTGCTGCCTCCATCTCCATGCACGGCCTTTCCTGGCGCCCTGGGAAGCCTTTTCCCTGCCTCGTCTTGCTCGGAGCGGGAAGCTGGGGGCTTGCAGCACGGATAGGGGTTAGAGGAAAGAGGAAAGTACCCAGCTCCTGCTTGGTGGTGGCTGCCGCCCGCTCTGCTGTGACTGTGGTGGTGGCGACGGTGGTGGCGGGCACAGTGGTGGCCACGGGAGTAGCAGCAGTAGTAGCAATAGCAGTAGTAGTAGTAGTAGTAGTGGTAGTAGTGGCGGCTGTAGTGGTGGCGATGGTGGTGCTTGTGGCGGCTGTAGTGGCGGCGATAGCGGTGGCGCTTGCAGGGCTGCTCGGGCTCGCGGCGGTCGGAGGCAACGCCGATGCAGCTGGCAGAGGGAAAGGCCAACAGCGGCGTTTTGGAAGGGCTCCTTCCTCCTCAGCGCTCGCCCTCCTCATCGCCACGGGCTGCGCCCGCGCGACAGGGAGCGGAGCAGCGCCCGGCGCTCCCGCAGCGATGCCGGCGGCGTTCCCGCCGCTCCGCTCCCTGCCACGCTCCTCCCCTGCTGCAAGGAGGTAGAAAGCCCCTTTTTTGTTATTTTTTGGCTCAATCATCCTCGGTTTGGGTCAGGGCCTTCATCCTCGAGGGATAGGCACGACCAGCATGGATTTGTGCTCTGCTCTGCAGGTGCCCTGGGGCAGCTCCAGCTTCAGCGGTCACCAACAGGACCCCTCAGCCCCACAGCTATCGAAAAAACAGCACGAGGAAAGTGTGGCTGAAAGCTCGAGCAGAAAACGCCACCAAAAAGGCGCTTAAGTGGCCTCAGCCAAGCGAGCTGAGGTCCTCCCTGTGGTTCCTGCATGAGTTTGTATTTCCTTAGTGCAGCTGAACGCATTACAAACGCCCAGGGCGGGCACGTGGAAACTGCTCTTGCAATAGCACCCACACAGCAAGAATAGTTCCAGGAAAGCACTGGAAAGAAAACCCAGCACAAAGCCGGGTTTTCCTCCTTCCCCGGACCAAACTAGTGGCCCATTCGGGGTGTATCAGACAGGGGGGCTTCTCTGTGAAGGTGCAGCTAGCTTGGGGACAGAGTGGAGCTAAGAGCCAAGGGGGCCCTGCCCCTCGCAGCCCTTCCAGAGAGGAGCAGCGGGTCGGCCAGTCCATCTGCAGCGCGGCTGCAATGAAATCACAGTTACCGGCACATATCGAGCGGGGGAAAAAACAGAATTAAGTGCCCAGGAGAGCGAATTAAGCGGCCGGGGGCCTCCCCGGGGCATTGCAACCGCGACCAACAGGCAATTGCAGCCAGCTTCATGCAAGAAGGCAGCACGGAGAGCAAGCCACCCGCCTCGTCCCGCTGCTGTCCCCCGCGCCAGGCACAGCCCAGGGCCCTGCACGGGTGCAAGGGGTGCAGGAGCCGCCCAGCCCTGCTCCTCACGGCTCCTTCCCTCTCCCCGTTACTCAATGGGGCTGTTGGAATCTCCTGAGGCTCCGTGTTACAAAAGCTTTCCTTGCGCTGAGAAATATCATCATCCATCTGCTGATTCCTGGCATTTTTCTGGTGGTTGATGAGTGTGGTTTAGTGTTGCCGTTAGCACAATTAACCCCTTTGCAAATTGCAACGCTGCAGCTTTGCAATCGGTTCCCAGTGCCCACCGTGAAAGCAGAAGCTCGTGATGCGCTATCGAGTACAGGGCTTCCCCTGCGCCTCCCTTCCAAAGGGAAAAAGGACCCAACGGGGCACAAAGCAGCCTCTCCTAGGACAGGATTTGGTGGCAACACTTGTGCAACACCCCAGGCCCGTCCCCAAGCAGCGCCAAGGCCCGGCTGCAGCAGATACCTCCGCTGACGTGATGGCTTAAGCGGAAAGAAAGACTCATCCTTAATGCTCCCATAGCCCCGAGATGGGAAGGGATGATCTGGGATAAGTCAGAGCTTAGCTGGCCCTCACCTAGGGCCTCGCAGGTGCGTATAGGATGGGGGGAAGCTGCGGGGACACCCTCCCGGATGCCAGGGTGCCACAACCTGTTCCCCAGCGGTTGGATTCACACGACAGGCAGGATTTGCCCGCTCGGCGCTCGCGCTCCCGAGAGCAGGGCTATCCCGTTGCATCAGGCTGCTATCACGAGCACCCTGGTATCCCGAGAGCAGGGCTATCACGTTGCAGGGGCTCCTGCACCAGCAACGGGTGTCCGCGCTGAGCACAAAGCCAAGAGCAGGGTCAAGTGGAACGGGGGAGCCTTGGACCCCAGAGGGAGCAATAACAGCACGGCCAGGAAGATCAAGAGCGGAGGGAAGCTGGGAATGCGGCTGGAGATGCTGCCAGGGCCGGGACCTCCCTCCTGGGGTGGCCCGGGATCCCACAGGTTTGGAGGATTTAGGCCTAATCTGCCCCTAATGGGCATGGGGATTCAAAGCTGCAGCCTCATTTGGTTTTGAATATGGGCTGGATGTGAAAGAAAAGCTCAGCTGGTAGATTGGGGAGCGGAGATAAGGGGCCTCTGCCCGTCTTTGAAAGCTCTCCCCTAACGAGAGCTGATCGCAGAGGGAGGAAGATCAAGAGGTGTTTGAGAGAAGATGAGAGCTGCTGACTGCCCCCAAGGAAAGGGCACCGGGGCCGGGGGGATAGAGGGGCAGGAGAGGGGGATTCAAGGGCAGGAAAGGGGGAGTGCCGCGGGAGAGCGGCACCTCCAAAGGAGCTTGGCCTTCTGGACGGTGCCAGCACCGGAGCCAATCTATCCTGGGGCTCCCGGCCCGCCGGCTCGGGATGCTCTTTGTCCTCGGGATATAAAGCGGAGAGCTGGGGCGGTCGCGGTCCAGGCTGGCGCTTCCAGAGCCGCTGGCACCGAGCGCTCTTCTCTGTGCCCAGATCACACGCATCCTCTGGGAGCGCAGCTGTAGCACTGGGCTCAATGGTGCCCAGCTTTGCACAGGTGCTGGATTTGCTTCCCGTTCTGCCTTCCCAATGGGCAGGTTCATTCCAGGGCTCGAGCAGCACCAGCCTCCAGTGCAGCTAAAGCACTGAGCGTCCGGCACCCTGTTTGAGGGACCAGGGAGCCAAAACAACTCACTGAGAGCAGGAGACACCTCTGAGAAGGGGCTGCTGCTTAGCAAATCCCTAGGAATTCCAAGCTGGAAAACCAACATATTATTTCCTCTCACTCCCATGCTAGCCTAGCCCGTCTTCCCAGAAACGTATGAATTGCCATGAATATCGTAAAAGCAAAATCGGAGGCATTTAAAGAATGAAACGGGGAGGGGGGAAGCCAAATCCCGCATGGAGCAGTCTGGAAGTTGCCCGTTTGTTGCGAAATGCAGGAAACAATATGCGTCCATACTGCTCTTTAATTATTTAATGGCGCTTTTAATGTATTGTTAGGCTGTAGTAAGGACTTTCCCCCGGGTGTGCCTACAATAGAATTAGGCTGGGAGAATCTGATTATTATTTCATGAAATTTGATGGTTAGCCAAATATCTTTTCAGAGACTTTTCTTCCTCTCCTGGCTTTTAGCAACTAAAGGGACTGTAAAGTCCTTAACAAAGAGAAGAAAAATATTCCAGATCTGATAACTATGAGAAATTCAGAAATAGAAAGAAATGATTGAATAGCCTGTAAAAGAGAGGGGTCAGCAGTTCCCTACATTTCTACTTCTGTCCCTTTCAAAAACGAACAATAGCATCTTTCTCCTCTGCTTTCTAATTATGGAGAGACGAGACGGGAGCAGAAAACAAGCAAATCAATGCCTTTTCTTTCCCCTTATAGTCCAAGACCAAACCTCTTCATGGCCCCAAATGAAGCTTTTCCATTCCCACTGGCGGTGCGGAATCCAGGTTGGATTTCTGGCCTCCATCGCAAAAGTGACAGCTCTTTTTACAAATCACCTTTTTTTTTGCCCAAATTGCCTGCTCTTTTGCCCAATTTTAGCTTAGGAAACACACAGCCTTCCGACGGGGAAGTCATTGCCCTTCGCTTTGATTTTGTCAGGTTGGTCCAATTCCTCACGCACCTACAAACGTCTCTGAACTTGTAGTTACCCCAGAAAAAATAATAATAATATAAAAGGCCATTTTTTTAGTGCCAACAGCCGCTGGCAAGGTGTGTTTTAGTGCACTTTAGGACAACTTTCACTACGAATCTGTAAAATCTCCCAAATCTAGGTCACTTGGCAGAGATGGGGCTGTAGGGGAGGGTCAAGCAGGATCTCGGCAGAAACCTGCGTGTTTTAGACTGAGATGCAGCATCCAAGGACACGGACGGGCCCGGCTCCGTGCTGCCCCCCCAGACCCCGCATCAGAGCCAGAGATGCCCTTGGGCTCGATGTTGGGACCAAGGTTTGTTCTGTGGCTGGCTCGAGCTGCCTTCATCCTTCTACGGGGTAGGGGACTATGCCTGATTTGATGTTACGCTGGAAGGACAAAAAAGTGGGTTTTTTTTTTGAAGCAACATCCACAGAAAGCGGAAAAACACTTTAGAAACTGCTTCCGAGCCACAGAGAGAATCTGGGTTCTTATGGCTAAGCTAAACTCAAGGGGAATTAGGAGCTAAACCAGCGCACAGGGAGCACGGGAGCAACTCCTCTAAACTGAAAGGGTTACGTGAGTCCCTTTTAGTTTCCCACCACTCAGAGCAGACCAATCTGTTACCCTTTTTTTTTCTTTAAGGAATACAGTAAGGAAAAGATTGCCAGCTATTCCGAAAGCAAAAAAAATCGCAAAATAATATTGATTAAAGGAACATCACGGCAACGAAATAAAAGGAGGAGAAAGATCCACAAAATAGGAAAGCAAAAGGTACGAGTGCTCCGGGCCAAGTGCTTTTCCCTGGCAGAGCACCAAGGGTGGGTTTTGGAGGGATGCAGTTACCCACTGCTGCCCAGGAGCCCCTTCCTGAGCCGCCGCAGGGCTATGCCAGCTGCTGAATTATTGCTCCATGGGATAAAGCACTGTGTCCTGCAGCGGGAATGCCAGCGTTCCTGAGAGCTGGGCCACCGTTGGGCAACACCAGAAGTTGTGCTTGGGATGCTGAGGGTTGGACTCCGTAGAACTTGGGGTTTGGGATTCCCTGGAAGCAGGAGGTTCCCGCCTCGGTTTCCCTGCTGCCTGGGGCCACGTTGAAGCCGGGCAGCACCGCGCGTGCAGCATGCAGAGCCGAGCACAGCCGTGGCGCTTAACCCTTTCCATGGTCACCGGGAAGCAAAGAGGTCACCCTGCGGAACGTGGAAGCGCAAGGAGCCGAGCCGGGGCTGGCGGGGACGATCCCATGCACGAAACCGGTGCAGAATTAGTGCAGCCGCGTGGGGACCGGCACCTCGGACCACGCAGGGCTGCGAATCTGTTTTGCAGGGCAGGGAGCTCCAGGCGTGAAAGGTGAGAGGGTCTGTGAAGATCTGGAGGCAAAAGCTGGGTTTAACAGCGCAACTTGAAGCTTGTTTTGCAGTGTTTGGTGCCTTTTGTCCATCCTTAGGGCACTAGGTCCGGGGGCCAATAAAGGCACCAGGTCCTACCTGGGGATGTTTTGGATATTTTGCTTTTTGGCACCCACTTCTGGCTGCTCCTGCTCGTTTGCCCTGCCCCGGGGAGGCTCCTGCGGCTTCCCGTGCCCACGGAGAGGGTTAAGAGAGCGCATGCAGCCGCGCGTCCCTCCTGCGGCCCGTACGGTACCTGGGGTCGGTGTCGCTTCGGAGGCGGCGCCGGGGACAGAGGGGGTGCGAGGAGAGCGTCGGCGACAAGGGGAGAGAAAACAGAGGGCACACGTAAAAGCAGGGCACGGCAGCGAGGGGCTCGAGGGGGCGAGCGGGGCCGGCGGCGAGGGGCGCGCGGGCGGCTTGGCCGAGCTCGGCGGTGCTCCGGGTTTCGCCCCGGTCGCTCCGCTGCGGACCCGGCCCGCTCGCCCGCTGCTCCCGGGCTCCGCTCGCCGCTTTGCGGGCGCCTCCGCTCACCCTCGGCGCGGGCGCGACCTGCTCTCGTCTCGCGCCCGTCGGCTCCATCGGCTCGTTAAGGCTGCGATTTAGCTCTGCTCTCCTATAGCCACCGCTCGCAGGGTATAGAAATGCACCCAGTAAAGCAGACGTATAGGAAACACGGGAATCCTGAGCATGGACAGCAGCGCTTAAAACCGGATCCCAGCGCTGTGAGCAGCTCCATGGGCAAAGCTCCTTCCCGAAGGAAACGCCATGCGGAGCAGCCTGGCGGAACACGGCCTTTCCCTTGGCACATGCAATTCCCTCATCCCGCAATTCCGCTCCTGCCTCATCCCTTAGCGACCCCCGGGGCCCCCTCAGACATGAGGAGTGGCTCACGTGCCCCGCGTCAGCAGTAGGAATTACTTTTCCTACTCAGGGTATCAGTTGGGACGGGGGGAGATGGAGGAAAAGGGACCCAAAAAATCCATTCAGTCGGAGCACTAATTAAATCATAGCCCTTCTAGCAAATGCTCGGGGAAGCAGAGCGCCGGCTCTGCCTCCCCCTGCTCCCTGGGCTTCCCAGGGCCTTGCAGCTTATTAGGAGCCAGAGCCAGCCCTGGGAAGCGGCTCTGCGCCCCGCCGGGTGCCACTGTCCCCTCCTTTGGGTGGCACGAGCTGGAGGGACATCTCGGTGCTGGGCGTTCGTGCCCGGCGTCGGCTGCTCCGGCTGAGCTCGGCTGCCCCTACCTTCGTTGAGCAGGGCCGGCGACTCCTCCACGAGGGTTTCTCCATCTCCCACCTGGGTCCTGGCGCGCAGGAAGAAGCGGTAGCGCGAGATGGGGTCCGTCCTCTGCAGCGTGAACCGTGTCTGGTTGGGAGAGAGGTTCTCCACCAGCGTCCTGCCCGTTTTGGACCCGTTAACTGTGGAGGAAAGGGAGGTCATGGGGGGCTTCAGCTTTGGTCCAGAAACGGGTCCTGCTCCCTACCTGTCACCTCTCCCCTGGGCAGGACTTGGTGCTTGTGTGGGGGCCATGGGGGCTCTGCAAGCCATAGACACCAGTGCTGGAATACACTTTGTGTAGGGCCATTGGTGACTTCCTGACCAGGGCATCTGCTACGGGTGCTTCATAGAATCGTTATGGTTGGAAAAGACCTTCAAGATCATTGAGTCTAACTAGGGTGGGTGAGTCCTGAGAAATGCTGAGCACCCCAACCCTTGTTGGCCTAACTGCAAGTTGCAGCTGCCCAGCCCTGCTCTGAGCATCCTGCCCAGCACCAGCAGCTGCTTCATCTTGTGGCCAAAGCCTCCGATTCCTTACGGAGAACTTTCTGTGTCGGGTGAGGAGGTGGCTCAGCAGCAAGGAGAGCGTTTCCCAACTTCATTATCACCAGGAAGATAACGTGGGGAACGTACAGGCTTGGTAGCGAAGGTTGTATCCTGTGAGCACGCCGTTGGGATGCTCTGGGTGATCCCACTCCAGATTGATGGTTTCCAGATTGGGCTGTCGGATCCTTAAATACCTGGGGGAGCTGGGCACTTGGGAGGAGGATGAGGAAAGAGAGGGAGAGAAGGCAAGACATAAAACATAACACACCTCTTGACAGCGCCCATGGCCCCTCACCGCGCATCCAACGCGCGGCTCCTCTTGCTGGGTACCACTGCCCTCCAGTGACCGGCCCCGTTAGTGACCCACGCTAGAGGGAAAAATCCCCAAATCCAATCTTTTGGAGCTCTGCTTGGATTTTCAGTAGCCAGGGTTGCTCTGAGTGCCCAGCTCTGAGTAGCGAACGGTGTTCCTGGAGGTGAGGTTCGAGCCTCAAACGATACAGGATTTTTGGAAAAACAGGTTATTTTATTTACGTTGCAGAGGCATCTTGTGCTTCTGTGTTTGGTCAGCCCAGTGTGAGCACTTCATCTATTTATCTATGGGAAAGGTACGGAATGGTACAGAAGGTGCTATGATTGGAAGCTGTTATTAATATCAAGAGAGCTCTATTGGGGATCTCATGCTCTGCATCCCTGAATGAGATTCTGCTCTTGGTCCGCTCAGAAGTGCAGTGTTTAAACTGGAGTAAGAACCCGGCTCCCATTCATCTCTGATCTGAGACGCTACTGCTTTGCTTTTCTTTAAACGGAGGTTTTGCAGAACATCATTCAGTCTCCTAAGTGCCAATATACAGTTATCCTTGCAGGTATAGGAAAAAAAAAATCAGCAGTTTAGATATGACAAGAATATAAGAATATATACATATAGCAAGAATATTATCTGCTGTAATGGTATCAACCAAAGCCATCCATATAAGCATATAGCTACCCCAACTGGTAGATGGCCCTAACAAGTGATAAGCAGCTAGGTCAAGATGCAGCTGATTGACCCAGTATGGCAGTTTTGCAAAGTTTTCTTCTTAAACAAGCTAATTATAGCCAGTCATTTAAAAGTCCTCAGCAGATGGCGACAATATTCAAGAAAAGCTAAGGAAAAAAAGAGAATTTGGGTAGAACTTGTTCTCAGATAGCGGCAAAAGGAAGGGAATGAAGAAGAAGCCATAATAATTCTGGGTTAGTTGAGCTTCTAACCTCTACCTCGTTCTGCTCCTGTATTTTAATTGTAACGGGCTGTGCCAAAAGCGGCTGTGCTAAAAGCAGCTTCATTGTCAGCCACCAAAAGTGCAGCTCCAACACAAAGACACCAGGAGGTCTATAAATAGCTCCTGCGACAGCACGAAAATTAAAATCTCAAGTTCATCCTTGACACAAGTCCCTTAAACAGACGAACGAGGTGCTCTTGCCTTAAAAGCCTGTAAGGAGGGAGTATTAGTGAAAGGGGAGGGAGGATCAGCGACATCCTGGCACAACAGGGCTTGGGTCTTGCAAGGGTCTTGCTGCTTTTTCACTTCTACTGCAGCATGGGGACATGCAGGGACATGGTGCAGGGCACAAGGCAAACCCCGGGCACGGTGCTGTGCCTCTGCAGGGGCTTTGCAAACGCTCCTCCCGTTCAGCCTAAGAGATGCTTGCTGCTACGTTAAAAATACCCGGGAGGGGGCATTTTAGTTGAAGACAGCGCTGCAGGGGTGGCTGTGGAGATATCACTCCGAAGGGCCTCGTGACAGCGGGGTGCAGCTCCACGTTCATCCCTAGTGCGGGCTTTGCAGGGCACTAAAGCTCCCGGTTTGCGCTGCAGAGCTTCCCGCTGCCTTTCCCGGCCCGTGCACCAGGTTCCCAGGAACGTTGCCACCAGAACGTACCTCCTTCTGGCATGGGGAACTCCTTCACTTCGCTGCGGGGCCCATCTCCTCTGCCGTTGCTTACAACCATCTCAAGCTTGTAGTTGCTGTAAGGAAACAGCCGGGACACTATGCCCCGGTTTCGGTCTCCGGGAAAACTCACATACTGCCGTTTTTTGGAGACCCACAGGTTCTTCAGCAAACTGCTTTCTCTCCAGAAATAGGCCTTCAAGAAACACGCATGGCAATGAAGCTTTTCCAGGTAAAGGGCAGTGGTTTTTCATTAACAAAGCAGGGCGACACTTAGTTTTTTTTCAAAGAGCAGCTCTCGGTTGCAGAACTCGGAGCCATTTAGAGCAATTAATGAAGCTTCAGGACCACCCGGCAAAGCAGGTCAGTTTGTTACTCAAGGATGAGGCTGACGGAGGTTAAGTGCTCACCAAGGGGCACCGTGAATCCGGGCACGAGTGAATCCAAAGCAAAGCCCAAGCTCCGAAGAGCTGGTTCTGGCTTCTAGTCCTCGAGCCCTAGACATCCAACATCTCGCCCTTTCTCCTTGGATTAGAAGCTCAGCTGTGTGTAAGAAAAGGTGCGACACGTCCAGGCTTCGCGGAAAGGCTGAGCACGGAGAGGCTTCGATTCAAAGCCCCAGCCCGTAAATTAATTTAGATTAATTTAGAAAATAGACTGGAATGATAGAGCAGTGGCAGAGGAAAAGGAGCAGTAGCCACAGAATGAACTTTATGCACCTCCAAATCTTGGGTTTAACCTCTATTATAACTGTTCTCAGGGCATGTGTTTGGTGATGAAGTCTTAGCTCTGGTAAGGCTACCAAGAACTAATACCTGAGTCTGTTCTGGGTTCTGAACAGCATCTCTGCTCTGCTCAGAATCACCAGTATTTTACCTTAGCTCTAAATACTTAAGGCCAGAAGTGGAGAAACGAGACCCTTTGGTTGTCTGTTAGCAGGGACTGTTGGGTTTAGGCTTTTTAGTAGCTGGTGTTTGTTAAAGCCGGCACTAGCTATCTGGGGGATGACACAAAACCCAGCCTGCTGGTACCTATCCGAGGTGCCCTTGCCCTCGTGCTGCCTGTGTTTTGAGGGGCACGTGGGAATGGAAGCAAAGATGCTGCTGGCTCCGAGTGGTCCATCCGGCGCCATCCCGGTGTGACACCAGGAGCCCTTGGGGGCTGCTCCGATCCCCAAAGTGGCTTTTGGTGCTCCCAAAGCCGCCAGGCTCTGCACTGAGCAGCAGGGTTGGGATAGGGCCGCCGGAGGAGGGTTTTCTGTCATCCCCATGTCGGGCTGGTCCGCGGGATCGCGAGCGGGTTAGCGGGATTAGCACGGATGCTCACTCGGTATTCCTTCAGCTGCCCCTGGATGGTGTCCAGGTGCACGCGGGTCCACGTGAGCGCTATGGCCGTACTGTTCAAAACCCTGATCCGGACGTCCGTCGGAGCGGCCTTGGGATCTGAGCGGGCGGGATAAAGCAGAGAGCTCGTTAGGCAGCCGCCGTCTCCGCTCCCGCTGCCCTTGACGGGTCTGCGGCGCTCCGGAGCGCGCGCCTGCTCTGCCACCTGCTGGCATCCCGGCCAATCCACCGGCCGGGATTTCCTGGGAATGAGGCTGTTTCCTCGTCTCTCTGCTTAAATTCAGTTGGGAGCATTTCCAAAGCTGATGGAACAGCAGCAACGGGCACATTTTGGCTCAGACCTCTCCTGGAGCAAGACCAGGGCACTACCTGCCTCCCTGCTCCTTCCTCACGCTCCTGAAGACAACTTGTGTTTTCAGCAGGACTTCTGCAGGAAGGGGGAACCGCATTCCTGCCTGCCAGCTCTTACTGGAATACAACAGAGCCACCACATCTCGCTGGATTACCTCCACGAAGCGCACACGTGCACGTGCTCGGATCCTCCCAAAACTCAAAGGTTTTGATGGAGAAAACCTCAGCACTTTGCAGGTTTTCTCGGAGTAGCTGGGCCTTTTTGTGGCCCCTTGACTTCAGACCTGGAGCCATGGATGGTTAGCTGCCTTATTTAGCTTACTTTCCAGTAATCCCAGCGTTATCCAGCTGGAGACCTCCCCACTGCTGGGCTGCGTTGAGAGGAACTAAAATGCATTTCCTTGAAATAGCTTGCAGCAAATGTGATAGGACAGGGAGCGTAATTCAGAGGCCTGGATGTCACAGGTATGGAAAACAATATCATAAGTAGCCCAGCAAGAGGAGGAAAGGGAACTAAACACAGTTCTGCATGGTAAGGTGGGAAGATTTGCACGAAAGTGGTGGTAGGTGCATAAACCGGAGCCCAAGCGGGCCTTACCAGAGAGGCACAAGACTCTAACCCAGGAGGAACCAAGTTCAATGTCCTCTTGGCCAACAGCAGTTGCTGTCGGCTGGGATGCACTGACTGCTCCGCAAGTGTCGATGGCCAAAACCTGAATGTACCTTTTTGGAGTGAGGCCAGGACTCGCCTTAGTGGAGTCCTACTGTCTTGCGCATTGAAGGTGATATCTGGGCTTTGCAGAGAGCAAGGTGAGTGGTTTGGGTCACGCCGCTCTCTGCAGACAGGGCTTAGAATGGAACCGAAGAGTCAAGTCTCCTTTCAATGCTCGGAAGAGGATTTTTTTCCCAAATCAAGCAATACTGTGAAGAGGCCCCAAGCCCTTGACCTTGGAGGGTCCCATGCCTACCTGAAACACAAGCTCCGGCCTAGCAAATACTCACAATCTTCCCCCGAGTAGCCGATCACAGTGTCAGGCTCTGGTGCTCTGCCAAAGTCATTCTCTGCCTGCACTTTGATCTCGTAGGGGACGTAGATGGGGGTGTTCCACACAACGTGCCGCGGGGTCTTCACCGTCTCGTTGTGCCAGCTCCCTCGGGGGTCCCTTCGCCTCCATCGCACGATATACCTGAGGTTGGGCCCATAAGCTTGAGTTGCATTCAGGGGCTTCACAGATCAAAACAAAAAAAGAAGACGGTGAGAGGGAGGAAAGAGCAAATGTGCTTTGATGCAGGGTTCTGAGAAGTTCGGTTCAGCATCTGGTTTTTATTTCGTGCTCCATCAGCGGATGACAAAGGAGGTCAATATTTTTGTTCCCAGAGTGAGACAAACCTATTCCTTGCCCTCCAGACCAAGGGCAGAACCAAGCCCCATAGCCCCCTTCCCTCGCATTCAAGTCCAGACTCCCACTGCCATTTCTCTTCTCCCTACAGCCTTTGGCTTATTTCTGGATGACATCTGCTGATCCATTATATAAAAAAGCAAGAGCTCCTATGTAACTATTTTATCATCTTCTTAAGGAATCAGCCTCTGTGAACATCCTCCTTAACCCATATCAGTCATTTAGCATCTTCTCTTTGGCTTCCATTGGCACAAAATTGTTTTTGTCACAGCCTTCTTGTAGGCACTAAAAGTGACAACTCTCTTAGATGCTTTCTATTCTCTTTATAATCTTTAAGATTTAAGGTATTCTATGTGGTACATCACACGTGTTAGAGAAGCTCAGTTCTCTACATCTCAGCATCTCTAACGGTGATGGTGAGATGCTGGGTGCCATCAAGCATCAAAAACCACTCACCGTCCACGTTATCTCCATGTTGTTCCGTTGGGTCCCTGCTCCTTGGACTCCCGTTGGGTTAATTTCAGGGCCTGAAATTCATACAGGAAGACAGGGGAGAGGTAGTTTCTAATGCTGATAAACGACCATTTGAGTGGTTAAAAAGCATTCACTGTGCAAGCCAAAAATATCACCCAGATAATAGTTAATGGTCTGATTTTTCCAGAAGTTTTCAATTCCCATTCAGGTTAATGGAACATGAGATTCTCAGCACTTTTGAAAATGAGGCCATTTATTTAGGAACCTCTTTTTTTTTTTTTTTTTTTTCAAAATGTTGTCCTAAATCTTTAAAAGACATTCATTGTGAACCAAACCTAGAAGCCAAGTCTTACACTTAGGAAAGCTGAGGTAGGAAGAGTAGCAAAAACCAACACTAGATGCCAGTAGATATTAAACAAATGTGTTTAAAATGATTAAGCTAAGAAATGCAACCAAACTGCAAAGCTTCCCTTAAGCTCCTCATACCACTTTTCCCAAGTATTCCACAGGGTATGAGGCACTGGACACACAGATTGAAGACCTGAGTCTTGCTTGTGGGACTAAAGTGCTCTTTAATCCTACACTGATCTGGGCTTCTGGCCAGTTCTAGCAGTGGACAATGAATTAGTAATTTTTAGGACAAAATGTGTTTTGCTTATGGTCACTTCACATTGAGGTTGTAATTTTCTGAGCGACGTCTGAGCTTCCTGTAGTCAGAAAGGCTGAGAGATGGTCTTTAGAAAGCTTAGCCAGCAGCAGCATTGAGCTTTCTTTTAACACGTTCCACTGGAACGACCTTAGCATAAATCTCCCATTTTGCTGCTCTGCAGAACATCAATCACAGCCTATGACCGCGTGGACCAGCTCATTCCCTCACCCGTGCAAATCTGCCCTTGTTATAGGGGTTGTAATCGTACGCTGTGAGTGAAGAGCTCGGTGCTACAGGGAGACCAGCGAGGTTGGTGGCCAGCTGCTAAACGCAAAGCCATGGCCAGCGGGAGCTGGTGGAAGGTGCTCATAGAACCATTAGGGTTGGAGAAGACCTTTAAGATCAAGGCCAACCATACTCACGGGCGCCGTTGGTCTGGTACCGTTCCGAGGGCATGCTGGGCAGGCTGCTGCCCACGTCGTTCACAGCAATCACCCGAAACTGGTAGTTGACGTAAGGAGAGAGGCTCAGGACAGCCGAGTTCACGCTCCCGGGGTAGCTGGAGTGGTTATGCCAGGTGCCAGGTTGGTACCGGTCCTCCTCAAACTGAACGATGTAGTCTGGGAGACAGGATGCAAAAGGGGAGACCCGCGAGGAAAGTGTTCCCTCCACCTGCCAGAAGAAATCAGGCAAGAATACGGCCAGGGGGACAGGCTGACCTGTGATGGGGCTGTTGTTGTCATCGCCAGGTATCCACGTCAACCGCACGCTCCTTTCGGCCAGATCCGTCAGCTCCAAGTCACGGGGCCGGTCGGGTCGTTCTGGTGGCCAAGTGACAAGAGATTAGGTTGAGCTTGTGATGGGATGTGGGGGTTCCACTCCCCATCCCTTCTCAAGGGTTGCCAAAACCCTGGCACTCTTGGCCTACATGGTCTTTAGTTGACCTACATGGTCTTGGCCAACATGGTTTGTAGTTGGTCTACATGGTCTTGCCCAAGACATTTGGTCTATAGTTGGCCTACATGGTCTCGCCCAAGACATTTGCTCTGTAGTTCTTCACCCATGCCATCGACTGGCAGTCTCCTTCAGCTCTTGGTCCCTGGCACTTTTTAAATCCAAATACATTCACAGACTAACTGTGCCTTGGATCCCTTCCTGCTGTCAGTACACACTGATGTTATCCGATTCGGCTGAATCATGACAGTGGCTCAGCAGGAGAATAGATGATCTTTAAAAAAAAAAAACCCTACAAGTAACTGTTCAAGAAATAAACGCAAAAAGATAGAACCGTAAGGACAGGAAACCTAAATAAAGATATATACTTGGTTAAAAATGCTCTGGGCACAACTCTGGTTTCTTTATTTGTCATAAACTATGTGCTGTCACAAAGCCAGCTCAGGCAACAGCAGTAGCCGTAACCCCTTCTTTCCAGGTGAGGATGAAAAGATTCAGTATTTGTTTCTCCCTACCATCAAGCTCACCATTTCCAAGCATGGGGAAGGTGATTCTCGCACTCAAGAGTCAGACCTGTGGCACACAAAGCAACGTGTCACAGGACCCTTCTACCCATGGCCATCTGGAGAGGCTTTCAAGGACAACGCGCACAGGATTTGGAAGCATCAGCTCCCAGCTTTTCCAGCTGCTACACCTACATTTGCTGCTGGCGTTGTTGGCAAGGCAAAACAAAATCGATTTACAAAAGAAACCAAATGAATTAGTGCGGATTACCTTTCGGTAAGTCTCTCAAACGGTTAGCAGGGATTGCTGCAAGGTAAGACATTGGCTGTTAATGGTGTTAGTTAAGTCATCAAGCTTGGATGGCCAAAGAAGCACTTGGGAAGTATAAAACCTACCCGCACAGTTACAGATTTCAGAAGGAACTGATTATTCTTGGGGATCAGACCCCCCACCCTTCTCTATGCACCTTTCTTCACATTTCTTATACACTGTAGAGGGGAGACACCAGCCTGCTATCGAGTTAATTAGCCATTAAGAGAAAAGGAAGGGAAGGGAAGGAAATCAAGTCCAGTCAAATTATTTGGGATGAAGGATTCATACTGCAGTTCTGCTTTGGCGGGGCCTTGGGGGTCTAAGCCAACATCACTGGCAGAATGGGGCATTTTTGTGAATGGGATACCTTTAGCTTATCAAATACTTGTTTTTTATTTCAAGTGCAGATTTCCTTAGGCTCAAATTCAACCCCAGCATTTGAGGGAATTTGGCCTTAGGCAGAACGGCTTGCTGAGCCCTGCAGAAACTGGACGATTGGTGTGCCATCATCTCGCCGACCACCCCTGCTTTAGAGGCCAATTCTGCGATCACAAATCACCCTTTCCCAATCCAACCTTGGTGCTAAAGATAGTTGGGTGCATTAAAAACAAAGCGCTTGGCTTTGTGTCAGCAAACTGGGCCTAGCACAGTCACCTAGAACAGTCAGGTAAGCTTTAGCAGAATCCTTGTCCAGCTCAGTACTAGCTACGCAGGTGTAGTCGCCTTGGTCCCTTTCAGCCACGCCATATATTGTCAGCCCATCATCTTCTTTCTTCATCCTTAAAGGGCAAAAAAACATATATATTACCTATACATATATATATATTACATATGCATAGCTTTGCATAACAGCGTTAGACAGAGGGATTTGAGTCTAACTGTTTTCTGATAAAACACAGCCCAAAAAGAACACCTCAAACAGAATATGTTTCTAGTCTGAAGATTTTATCAGCCAAAGATGTATTGAGTTATTCTTGGAAACTTAATTTCCGAAGGAATTGGAGAACCTGCTCTGGTATCTAGCTGAAAATAATCACACTTGTAGAAACACAGTCTGACTTTGGACTCATTTGTGTCCCATGATCAAATCTCATTTCATGAGAGGAGAGTGACACCATGGAAAGGAAATTACAACTGTGCTGCTGACAGCAGATTAATTTTGAAGTAGTTTGTTATTAACCCGTGTATTTTATCAAGATATGCTAAAATATTTGCAAATAAAACCTGAGCAGAAAGTCTCCATTTACTGCTAGGAAACTGCTAGTCATGCTCTGTTCAAAGAAGCTAACATTACAAGTAGCAAGAACAGATGTTGCCTACATAGGAACTCTAATTTATCTAAATAATAATAAATTATAATTTATCGAAATTACCCCTGGTAACTCCTGAAATGTTCAACGGAGGGCAACAAGAAGCAGTAGGAGCTTAGGAGACGTAGGAACACGTTATGCATGTACCTGTTTCCAATATAAAGCGGAGCATCATCTTTGAGCCAGGTGACCGTGAGCTTCAACGTAGGGTCATGCTTCACGCGGCAGTGCAGGCGAGGCATGGAGCCCCTCTTCACCACTTGATCTTCTGGTCCTCTCACAATCCTCGTGGGATCTGTGTAGTCCAAAGGAAGGCGGTTATTGACAGCGGCTGTGCTGGGGCTCACAGCCAAGGACTTGGACGAGACAAGCAAGCATGAAATGAGAGAACTTGTCCCGTTCCCCATAGTGCCTTTTCTCTGATACAGAAGTTTGCAGGTAGGTTTGTCTGCTTAGCAAGCTTTTGGTTCATACTGACATCTTCCATATTCCAAGCTTCAGAGTTGATAGTGATCAAAGGATTCATTCTATCCCTTGGATAGAACGAATGCGCACAATTAACCCTACCTTAGCACAGGTGATTTTTCATGCTGTTACTTTCAAACCAGGCGAGAGCCCTTTGATCTAAAGACCTTAGGATCCTACCTTTGACCTCCAAGCGAACCTGGGCCTCTGCTTTACCCAGGATGTTGGTGGCAACGCAGGTGTAGATGCCCTGGTCCTCCTTCCGAGCCATGTTCATCTCCAGGCTCCCGTTTTCGTGCGCCTTGTAGTTTCCTCCATCGAGAGTGTTCCCCTGGCCGTTCTTAAACCTCACAACAATACAAAGCACTATTTGTAAGGGAAGAAACAGCAGGAAACTGCACCGTCCTGCCCGCTCTGCGCTGCACCAAAGTGCTGCTGCTCTTACCATCTAAGCGTGGGGATCGGGGAGCCAAAGAAGGGGCAGTCGAGACGGGTCCTGTTGTACTGAATGACTTTGATCAGCTGATTGCGAGGTGCTAATATCCGTGGGGGCACATCTGCAACAGCAGGAATTGCAGTCATTGAAATATAAACCAAACCAGGACCTAGAATGATACCAGTCTTTTCATCCACCCTCCCTTTTTCTTTCCTATCCCTGGTCTTTATTCACCTCATCAGGACTTCGTATAGCTTCTCCATCCTTTTTTATCTCTTCTTCCCTTTCTAGCCTCAGCACTTGAAATAACCTACATCTTAGCATCAACTCTATGTGCTGACCCTTGCTGGGCTTTGCGTGTGTGACCTTTAAGTCTGCTGTAGCAGAGGGTTTGTCGCAGACTTTGCAGGACAATGACCTTGTGAGTCAAAACCCAACGCACAGCCCACATGGCTGTGCACACGGGTCTCAGAATAGCCAACAACAACCAGGAAGGCAAATTGGGAAAGCTCACAAGGAAAAATGGAGTATAGGCGAGGTGTTTGTCTTCCCTAGGTGTAAGAGGAGGCACTATTTTGCAGCCAAGAGCATCTCGTGCACTGAGAGCTTCCTAGCTTCTTACATCACTTCTGGGCTGGCCTTTGAGAAGGCTCCTTCTCTATCCATGTGTCCAGGGCTGGTGGTTGTGGTAGGTGCTTACCCAGGACACTGACAAAGGCGTTGGCGAGAAGGTAGCCGTGCTCGTTGGACGCGTTGCACTGGTACACGGCACTGCTGCCGATCTGGGTGTCTCGAAACACTATGGTGTCTCCAGCCACTTCGCGGCTCGGGTTGGGGGGAGAAGCTTGAAAACACAGCAGACAGAGAAGACTCTTTAGTAGGAAATGAGAATTTCCAGGGTTCTAACTTTATAGAATCATAGAATCCTTAAGGTTGGAAGAGACCTCTAGAGATCATCCAGTCCAACCCCCCTGCACACGCAGGGTCACCTAGAGCATGTGGCACAGGCTGCGTCCAAGCGAGTTTGGAAGATCTCCAGAGAAGGAGACTCCACAACCTCTCTGGGCAGCCTGTTCCAGTGCTGTCACCCTCACCGTCAAGAAATTTTCGGTGATATCTTTCCTCCTCAGCCTACTTAAAACAAGCACCACGAGCTGCCCTAACTGCAAAGAAACGCTTCATCTGGCCTCATCTCAAGCAAGTGGTTTAGGTGCTGCAGGACACAGCATACACGCACACAGCAGCGGGGTGCCCGGCACCCCACAACAGCCCTGCCTGTCACATTCAGACACTGTCACATTATACACTGCAGCCACGGCCACTTTGCCATGAAGAAGATCACACCTTTCCCACAAATATGGCCATCTTTAAACATTTGCTTGCAAGGCGTCGGAGAAAGAAGTTGTGTTGGCAGTGATTGTGCTCCCTTTGCTTTCAGCCTGTTTCTCCTCAGTGTTGGTGCTTGGGGCTGGCCAGGTGTCCTCACTCACCTTCTATGGGCTCACCATTCACCAGCCACTGTATCATAGGCTTGGGGTTCCCATTGGCTCGACACACCAGCCTGCCGTCCTCTCCAGGGGCCAAAATCAGGTTCTGTGGCTCATCCAGCCAATACGGAGCAGCTTTAAAATAAACATACATACCGATTATAAAGGCAGCATCACATTCCCAATGCTGACAGAGGCGGGAGAGAGCGTTTCCTTGTGTGGAACTGCTTTCCCTGCCACCCTCAGGTGCCAGCAAAGTAGCTGGGTGCGGGAAGAGCAACGTTCTCCTTTTCCTTGCTGTCTCAGAGGGAGCAGGGCAGGGGGACGTACCCTTCACCCTCACGGAGATGGTGTGCCGGATACTGCCCATCTTGTTGGACGCCAAGCAGAAGTACTCGCCGGAGTCTTCCTCGGAGACGTTGGAGATGCGAAGGGCCTTGTTGAAGTTCTCCAGCTTGGTTTTGCCCGCTGGGAGCTCCCCTCCCTTCTTGTACCACATGATGTCGGGTGCTGGTCTGGGGAGAGGGGCGGAAATAAATATCCTTGCAAGAGGAGAAACGTTCCTAAGAGAACAGCATCTGCTCAGGCCCACAGAGAAGGACTGATGAAAGAGCTGGGATGCCTTTCCTGCCACCCCGGCCCCGCTCCAGGACCCTGAACATCTCTAGCCGAGCAGCTGAGGGTTTGGTCTCATGCCTTGCGCTCAGTGCAGAGCTACGACCCGCAGCAGCGCTGCGCCCAGCTCTGTCCCCTGCCCAGGGCACCTCTGCAGCCCACAGCCCACGGGTGCCACCACCCACCGCCCACTCAGTGCCGCGAGGGGCAATTTGCAAGCGCCTCCGAGGACGAATCACTGTGGAATTACCCCCGGATTTTGCCAGCGAGAGAAAACCCTTGCTCCTCAGAAGCCTGCTGCAAACCTCAGCTTTCCTGTTTGCACGCAAGCTCTTGGCTCTCGCCCTGGAATTAAGTTACGGGAGAATAACGAGCAGCCGTCAAAAGAACAGGCAGGGCTGCGCTGCGGTACCTACACGCCCGAGGCGATGCACTCCAGCAGCAGGTCCACCCCTCGGAGCACCATCTGGCTGCTCGACGTCCCGTACGGGTACATGAAGCTGGGCGTCGTTTCCGAAACCCCGCGGGCTGCAATCGGCAGGGAAGAAAAACAACAAAATGTTTTGGAGCTTTTGACCTCTCCGGGCAGCAGGGAGGTTGCTCCGGGGCCGGGAACATCCATGGCTTTGGGGGAAGCTCCCAGGTCCTGCATGAGCTTGAGGCTGGAGCGGGAGAGAGAATCCAAGGAGAAAGGGCCTTGGGAAGCAGAGCGGGGCACAAAGTACAGTTTTAAAGTGAAAACCTGGGAAGGGAGAGGATTTGGTGGGAAATACAAAACATGACAGAGAAGAGAGAAACACAAAAGGGAGCTGAGCTGGGGACGGCGCGTGGCAGCTCCGGACTGGGGCCGTGTCTCCAGCCAAGCATGGAAAAGTCTGGGCAGAAAAGAGACGGAATCGCGTTAGACTTGGAAATACTGATGGACAAGACACGTAACGAAGGACGGATATTACAGAGAGAACAGGCACAAGGAGCGTTAAGGTGACAAGAGAGCCGCCTTGCCACCAAGGGGACCACGGGGCCGTCTGCTCTTCCTCCCGTGCCGCAAAGCCGGAGCCGATGGGCAGCAGCCTTGGGAAACGGAGCGGGACCGGAGAAACACAGCGAGAGCCACCACGATGGGACGGGAGGTTTTGACGGGGGGACACAGGACAACTGCCTACGAGGACACAGAGCGAGGGGCTCCTGGGGATGCCCGGATACATCAGGGAGCACAGGATGGGATGGGCTGGGAAGCAGCAGCAGCAGCAATGACGGAGGTGATGGGATTAGGAGAGGGAACAGGACAGCCCGGGCTGTTGATGAATGAAGGGATCAATGGGGAGAGACTGTGTTGGGAGCCCGAGACCTCTTCCAAGCCCTCGTCCGAGACCAAGCTGGGCACGAGCAGCACCCGACAGTGTGGCAAGGGCTGGAAAGAAACGGCTAGAAAGACGGGAGAGAGGTTCCAGCTGGAGCCCACCAAGATCTGAATCATGAGCAGCCCCTCAAAAGAAGAGAAATGAAGAGGGATTTAAAGGACAGCCCCAAGGGCAGGAGCGCAGATACAAGCCCCCGCGCCCAGCGTTAGGTGGTTATTTGATTAATGGGTTACAGCAGCTGGAATTAAGTGACGTTGGGTTCACCACAGCTGCCAACACTCCCCCCGTTTGCTCCTCTCTCGTGATTAGAAGCTGTTTTACAAGCAAACGTTGGCTTTTGTTAGGCAGTGATTTGGTGTTTGAGCGGGCAGGGGTCCCTTCCTCGGCTGCACCTCCTGCTCAGGAGCTTGGGGTGCAGCTTGAAGCAGCAGTGCAAGCCAAGTTTTACCCGCCGTATTTTAAGGATGAAAATTAAAAATAAGGAAGATAAATTAGTTTTCTACCCACTCATCCAACAGACCTCACAACAGCGCTGCATAGCTGCTAAGCTTGGGCCTTGGTGTAGACCTATTAATAAGTATTTGGCTATTTAAAACTGGGAGAGCTGGAAGAAGTCTCAGACAGATGCAACATCCCAGCTCCAAATTTGCAGCACCCAGAGCTGCAATGTTTCGCTGATCCATTTGGATGGAGCAGTGCTGGAAGAATAAATCCCGTAGCTATTTATCTCTGCTGAAAAAGAGGCTTTGCTTCCCGTATTTGCTTCTGTTGCCTCCGCCTCGACAGCCCTGGGCTCGCTCAGTGGGAACAGGAGATCCCAGACCCAGCCGCGACCTTCCCAAGCAAACGGCCCCGCTCCCCGCCACCCTATGGCTTTGCCAAGAAAACAGGGATAAAAGACGCCTTCCATTCCCATTTTAAACAAGTAAGAAACCTCCGGCCGCTTGGCTTCCCTTCCTGCTGCCTAAGGAAGATGACCCGTAGGCTGCAGCCGCTGCCGGCCGTGCAGCCGATTGCAGCGTTTTGGGCAGAAATGCATGGTTATTGAGAAAAAGTTCGCCGGTGCCTGGGTTATTAGAAGTCCCTGGTTTGTGGCTCTGTTTTGCACAGCTCATTGACGGGCTTTTGCCCAGGCCGTGTTGGGCAAGCAGAAGGTGGCTAGTCCTGCAGATCCCTGAGCAGAACCGAGCAGGAACCTATGGGACTGCGGACAAGGTCAGCTCAGCCTGATGGGAGAGTGACCTGCCACGTCACTTTTCCCCATACAAACACATCCCGTGGGATACAAAGGCACCTTGGGACACTCCGGAGCGAGTCCCTGGCCAGCCTGGAGCACCGCAGACTTGTGAACGGAGCCGCAGCCGGGCCTGGCTTGCAATGCAAGCGCCTTTGCTCCCGGCCAGGAGGAGCAGCACGCTTCCCAGCACAGGGTTTGCTCCCTGGTGCTGCAGACCTTGCACGTCCACGAGCAGGGACATCACCCCCAGGCCACCCCTGTGCTCAGCCCCTGCCATCCCCAAGGAAGGTGCTCCCCCATGTGCTCGTGGTCCCATTGCAAAGCTCACTGTGCTCGTGGTCCCATTGCAAAGCTCACTGTGCTCGTGGGCCCACTGCAAAGCTCACTGTGTTCATGGTCCCATTGCAAAGCTCACTGTGCTCGTGGTCCCATTGCAAAGCTCGCCCATTTGCAATGAGGCTTATGGTCCCACTGCAAAGCTCACCCATTTGCAATGGGGCTCATGGTCCCATTGCAAAGCAGCCGCACAAGCATTTGCAGACTCGGCCCCTCTCCCAGCACCGTGGCTTCCTCGAGCCTCCTCCCCCTGCAGATCCTTCTCTTTGGGTCTCTTGGGATTGCCAAGCAGAGCGCCAGCTCCTCCCCGCGCGCTCCTCGCTCGGTGCCCGCCGAGGGGCTGTTCCCCGTTGCCTTCCCTTTGGGAGATGTCAATGCGGCGGGCACTGCACCGGGGCGGCCAGCGCTTCTTGCTGAACAAAGCAGGGCTCCTGTCACCCTGCGGCGCCGGCTCCACGTGAGCCCGGTCCCTGCAGGCTCCAGCTGCCTCCTGACCACTGGGGAGGTGCCAGTGACCCTATTTCCTAGGCAAGGAACAGGGACACGGGCTGCCCGCCAGGGAGGGGAGCTGCTCCATGAATCCCAATGCCCTCACCTGTCCTAGCCTCCTTGGCGAGCGCTCCAGACTCTTTTATTAGCTGACAAAAGTGCTTTTTTTGTCTCCAAAGGTCTCTACGGAAGAGGGAAACGGGCCCAGTGTTGCGCGGGGACACGAACAAACCTCCTGCTCCGGGCAGGAAACCGGAGGGGACGCGACACGGGCTGCTCCGAGGAGCACTCGGAGCGGGATCCCACTGCGCGGCGCCGGATGGCTCCGGGTCACCCTGTGCCCCCCATCCCCAGAGAGGGAGAGAGCAAATCCTTCCCCTTGTCACCATCAGGCGAAGGGACTTGGTGTCACTGCTGATGCGTTCGTCCCTTGTCCCTAGGGAAGGGGGCAATGCTGTGGGAGGCTGGTCCCTGCCAGCTCCCTCCGTGAAGACCCTCACCCCACGCAGAAACAAGGCACTGAGCTCCCGAGAAAACCAACCTCTCCTTTCCTCCTCCTAGGCAACGCCCGCGCTTAGCTCAAAACACAAAAGATGCTCTTTCTGAACACAGAGAAATGAGAAACTTTGGTTATCTTTAAATCTCCATCCCAGGTCTCCTGTGGGGAGCAAGCTGACCTCCCTCCATCCCTACGGACCTATCCACTTGGTTCACACCCTACTAATCCGATTCCCCCTGCAGCTGAGCTCTCTATCTCCAGTTCATTGGCTTCAATCCCAATCATTTTAAGAGGTTCAAACTTCTAGGGCTCTTTTGCTCCTGCGTTTAGGGGCTCTTGTGCCTTTTGGGTGAAGTTGCTCATACAGCTTTTGTGAAGCTCAAACCGTAAATGACAAACCATAAGTGACAAAGCCAAAAAGAGCACACACATGCAACAGATACAGGAGATGCTGCCCACGTGTTGAGCCCTCGCCGGGCGCCCCGGGCGAGCGGCTGGGTTAGCGCGGGGTGAGTCGCGTTAGGTAAAACGGGGTTAGGAGGTGAAGTTCTCCAGAAGTCAGCGTTGACTCACCACTGTACATGTCAGTGTGATTTCGAAAGGACGTTTCATTATGGGGTTTCTCTGCAATAAACAAAAGACCGTGAGCATCCCGAGAGCGCCCAAAGCAGGGGAGGAGCACGGGGGGACGGGGAGGAAAACAAAACGGCACCAAAACCAACGAAATCAAAACCAAAGCAATTTCCCAAAGGGGGAGAGCAAGGGCGGACGGGCAACATGAGCGGTTCAGAAGCACAACTGCCCAAAAGGACACACAGCAACAGAAGACAGCGATAACGGAGGAAAAATAAGACTGCTTTCCAGCTCTAAGAGGGATAAACAAATAAATATATGAAAAATATCAGGTAATTGTATCATGGACATTTTCTTGAAGGGTTTTTCTTTTGGCCTCTGTGTCTTTGGGTTAGATGTTTTATCTCTCAGTTTCTTAACTATGAGGCAAACATATTTCCACTACTTTTTGCCAGCAAAAACCATACATTGGATGCAGCCAAGCAACAGCATAATCATGCAGAAAGGCATGGCAGAGAGGCGTGATGAAGGTGAACAAATAAAAATAATAATAATTATTAGGCTTTAAAAGCATAATCAACTGGAAAATCCTTTTTAACCACAAGGTAATTAAGTAGATTATGTTGCATGCAAAATGCCAGCTCTTTGATAACGTACTGCTCTCATTTAGCCACAGCCACTGCCAGCCAACACCTTTACTTGTCAGAGCATCATTGACCAAGCCAGAGGTTTTAGAGCAAAAAAGGAACAGGTTGGGCTGGTTACAATACGGGGTTGACCTGAACCTTCAGTCATCAGCTCACACAGGGTCTTTATAGAGAAGGGGAAAGAGCCCAGGTGAAGCCCAAGAGCTGCATGAAGTAGGGTGAACTAGAGAAACTCGCCATAAATAAAGACACAGGTTTTATCTGTGTAAAAATACCCATTTTTCCCTTTTCTGCTCTTGCATACAAGGCCATGACAGTCAAATGCAATGATTTTTCAGCAGGAGGGTGAACCTGGCTTTTCTGAACATCCATTGCTAAAGGCCGAGATCGCCGAGCAGCTTGAGGCGAATGCAAACGCGTCCCCTTTGAACGCCACGCCGATAAAGAGCATTTTATCAAAACAGACAAGAAATTAGAGCCTCAGAGCCTCGGCTTGTAAAGGCCTCCGGGGAGCGCGTGGGAGGCGTTTGCATCTCACAACTCATCAGACATTTCCAAAGGAAAACTTAAGAGCGGCTCCAGGATAATTGGAAGCCAAAGGACAGCAGCTGTAATGAGCCTTGCAAAGAGCCCAGATGCACGGAGCCCTGGGAGTTCCCATTTTTTTTTTTTCCACCTATTTTGGTTTTCCTGGAGCTTGATTCATATGTCAGACATTAAACACAGGTCTTTGTTTGCCAGAGTTTCTCCAGCTCACGCTAATTTAGGACTCGGCCCTTCAGGTACAGATAAACCTTGCCATTATTTGGCCAGCTCTGTAAATGGGCAAGGAAAATTTGGAGTGAGGAGCTACAGATATTCCTCTCCATTAGCAAAGGGGCTCTTTATAGTGTTTGAACTGCTGACTCTCCACTCATGCATTGCATAGAGGGGAAGGTGTTACAATAAAACTGTAAAATATTAGAGGCCGAGTCACCTCTCACGTCAGCTTCAGGTCACTGCTCTGAGGATGCTTTAATAGAGTTAATTCTGTTTTAAGCTGCTGCAAGAGCGGGTTAAGCCCCTAACTCTGGGATTCGGCTCCAGCTCTACTGTGCACAACCACCTGCTCCCCAAAGCACCTCCCTGCACAAGAGCCTTCCTCTCTCAGCTACAAGAAAGACCTCAGCAGGACCTGGAGATGTTCTTCATGTGGCCCCAAGTGATGACATGGCCCATGTGGGCTGTGTGCTGTCGGTCTCAGCTGAGACTGTACCGGGTGCTGTGCACACATATAACAAGAAAGCCTCTTCTGGAGCACCTGCGTTGCCTCCTGCAGTGCTCGGCTCGTGTCCCTGTGCCAACGTTGCCACCAAGCAACTGGCACAAGCCTTGGTAGCATCAGAAAGCCGCCTTCTTTAGAGGAGCCTCTTTTCTGGAGGAGAAACTTGGGGTGCCTGGCCCTGCTCATGGAGCGTCCCTTCATACAGCAAAACAGACGTGCGCTCCTCCTGTCCCAGAGAGCGATCTTCACTAGGCTAAGACTAAGATCAGCAGCCAACCTGAACACGCTGCCCGTGTTCAGGCCACAAACAGCCAAGCCCTCCTGTCACCACATTCCTGAGCCAAGGAGCTAAACGGCAGCCCCCCAGGCCATGGGCAACTGTGCAAGGCAACTCACTAGCCACAAAGCTGGGTCCTGCTCGGGCCCATTCCTGCACCCTGGCAGCGGTGCAAGGCTGCTACCCCCGTCACAGCCAAGTCCAGCGCTGCTGTGAGAGAGGAGCTGCGGTTGGAGCGGGGCAGAGCTGCGCCCGCTGCTGGCTGCCATGCCGATGCCAATGGCAGCGGCATCCAAGAGGAGCGAGCCCAAATGTTTGGATGCCCTCCGCTGATTAAAACACCCACCTATGCACTCAGCCAGCAAAGCGAAACTCCAAATCCGGATTTTCCATAAACCTGAGAAAAACACGTCTATTTCCCACATTTACAGCTAGGAACACATCGCTTGATACTACACGTTTCCCTAAAAACGGGGGGAACTGCCCCCCACACAGACCCGACACGTGCACAGAGCTGCCTTTGCAGCCCGGCCGCCTGCAAAGCTGCAGAGCTGGCAAAGCTCAGGGACACTGCAAGGAAATCAGCTGCCTCTCACTCCCGCATTAACATCCAAGGACTGCCCTTCCGCATGCAAACAAGGTCTTATAGCGCCTTAAACAAAATGCAAGAAGCCCTGTTGACCCTGGTACAGTTGGGGTTGTTGAGGGCTGGTACAGGGTGGCCTGAAAGAGGAGTCACGCCAAGAGCAGGCAGAAGACCCATCTTGGGGGATCCTCGTGACACTTACTGGTTTTCACCTTGAGGGTGTACGGGTTTTTCTGCTGGATGGTGTGGGTGAAGTGGAAGCGTGCGTTACAGCTGTAGTCCGTCTGGGCATCTTGCAGCAAGACGTTGGAGAAGTACAAGTCGCCGTTCTGGCCTTGGGAGACGCGCTTGTCTTGGTGGATTGGCTCCATGGCTGCACAGGAGAAGAGGAGGCCAAAGTTAGAGGTGCCAGAGGAAACGCTAACGCTCCTGGATGCTTCTATGGGCAACCTCTAAAGATAATAATTATTTTAAATAAGGAGTGTGGTCAAGAGAGGTGCTCCCCAGTGAGGGTTCCAGTTGGGAAGGGGCATTTGTCCAACTTACAGCTGCTCATCCAGAAGATGACCGGAGAAGGCAGGCCGGGCGGAGGGTTGCACTGCAGGCTAAGTGGAGCACCTTCATCCACCTCTATCACATCCACCTTCTCCTTGGGCCACAAGGGAGACTCTGAGAAGAGGAGCAAAGCCACAGCAAGCAGTCTGGTGAAGGGCTGGTTTGAGGAGAGATTCACTCGCCAAATCCCTTCCCTTCCTTCTTCCCACTGGACCTGGCCTGGTTTCAATGGGATCTTCATGCAAACCTTATTTCTACATGAGCAAGATTCGCTGACACAGGTAACCGATGAAGCAGGCTGAGATGTTTGAGCACCAAGGGCATGATGCTGAGATGTTTGGGCATCATCTCCATGCCTCTCCTACAAAACCTTGCACGATACAAATATCCACTGCAACCCTTAGAGTAGCAGTTCCCCAGGCTTGTTCTCTCACTACTCACTAGAAACCTGGAGGTGGATTTTGCTGGAGAGCGCCGTCCCAAAATCGTTGCGTGCAAAGCACTGGTACTCGCCCTCGTAGTCCTCCGGCCGGCCACCGCTGTGGAAGTCGATGACCAACGTTCCTGACCGCCGCCGCATGGAGACTTTGGGGTCTTTGGCCACATTGAAGAACTTCCCGTTCCGTGTCCATGAAAACCTGCACGCAGCGAGACACACTTGGTGTAAAATGGTGTAAAATGGTGTAAAACGGTGTAAAAACTTCCACCAACTTCAGTGGATGCAAGGCCAACTTAGACCCACAACAAGCTGGGCCCAAGGACAAGGCAGAGCTCCCCTCGAGCAAGCCCTTCTCCTTTATAGGCTCTAATAAACAGCACGGTTTTGGTAGAACAAGAGCTTTAGAGGCACTTACGTGGGAAGGGGGTTGCCTTTAGCTTCACAGTCGATGAAGATGTTGTCCCGGGGGTCCACAATGTAGTCCTTCACCGACTGCTTGGTGATGGTGGGCGGCTGTGGCACTGCAAGGCAAGCGGGGGCAAGAGGGGAGGAGGGTGATGCAGGGAGGAAGAAACCTCTCGCCTGTCCTACAGCAAGGCCCGCCGGGCTCTTGGCTTGCTCCCCAGGCTGGAAAGGCAGTTTGTGGAGCAAAACCCTTTCAGACCTGAGGAAGGAACCGCGAGCATTGGCAGGCTGGGCACTATTTCATCTCTCAAAGCACCGGCATTGCTCAGTCTCCCTTTCAGGGCTGAGCAACCTGGATTCTCGCTCGGTATCTTGGTGCCATTAGGAAAGCTCTCGGTTGTTTCTCCCTGCTACCAACGTGCCATTTAACTCCGAGCTCCAGGTGCTCCAGCCGTGTCCCTCCAAGGAAGAGCCATGGCACAGAGCTGCTGCAAGGAGTTTGCAGGCACTAAGCAAGAGCAAGGAGGAGGTCGCAGGGCCCCCAGAACGGGCACAGCAGTGGCCTTTAGCCACCAGCCCAGCCTTGGCACACGGGTTTCTACCAAGCCGGGGTCTGTTCTCCCCTGAGGTGCAGCCCAAGCCTCCAGAGCAAACGCTGCTCCGTGGCTACCAGCGCTTGCTGTGGGAGCCTTGCAAGCCCTATGTGGGCAAGGAGGGATGATGCTCGTCCTTCCTAACCCAAGACGTGTCCCAGAGGGTGAAATGTGGCCCCGTACCCCCAGGGCCAAGCAAGAGCCTCGCCCGGCCCCGCTCCTCCTGCTCTGCTCTGGAGGCACAGAGGGACTGTCGCATGCACGGAGAAGATAAGGGTGGGACTTACATTCACTCTGAATATTGGCTGTTATTTCCAAAGTGCAAGCATAACAAAGAAGAAGAAGAGAAAAAGGGTTAACCGAGAAGCAAACCAATATACGTAAACACTAGGCAAGCGAACAGAAGCGTTACGTAGTTATTGCAGGGTCTGCAAACAGCAGCACGTCAGCACGCAGGCACTTGGCAGTGACAGACCCAGGGCTGAAGGAGCTTCTACGTCCAAAGGGCTTGGGCAGCACGAGGGCAGCAGGGAGGTTGGTGCCTCCTGGCTCATGGGCCTTCAAGAGGGCAACACCAGCCTCCAGCAGCCCTGGAGCAGCCCTGGAGCGCCGGGATGCTCCGCTCGCATCAACATCTGGCAGAGCCTTGTGTCCCCCAGGCCAATGTGGCGCGGGTTTCAAGCCCTTGCTAAGCTTTTGAGGCAGTTTGCCTAAACCAGGGAGTGATTTAAGTGGTTTTCTGGACAAAACCCCACGGGAGACGAGGAGGGCTGGGCTCGGGGGGGTCTCTCCTCCCGCGCTGTTTGCAGGGGCGTTTCTGGAGGAGACGAGCAGCACTTACAGTCGAGGGGCACCTCGATGGCGCTGGCGAGGTGCTGCAGGCACAGGGCGAGGGCGAGCGCGGCGCGGGCGAGCCGGGCGCTCGGCGGGACCATGGTGGAGGCCGGGACCGCGCGCCGGCCTCGGGCCCTCGGTGCCGGCCCCGCACGCAGAGCCGCTCCTCGGATCCTCACCTGCAAGGCAAACACAACAGCGGGCAGCAGCGTTGGCTCCTCTGCCTCCTCTCGTCTTCCCTTTGTGGGATTCCAGCTTCCCGGGGTGCTTCTGGATGGAGGAGAAGGGGGCGTCGCTTCCTTGGGCTCCTCCAGGTGCGTGAGCCGGGTTCCCATCCAAACCCCCCGGGATGGGCAGGATTCGCCTTTGCATACCCAGGCTTTTTATTTGGCTTTTAATAAAGCCATCAACTAAACGGAGCTTAAAAGATAATGGGAGAGGAAGATAAATGATCCCATACATGCAACCACGACCCCCTTAGCCAGTGTGCCGGGATTGCATCACAGCTGGGCTACCACTGTCTGCAACGGAGCAATAAATCCCGGGCACTGGACGTGCAGACAGCTCTCCCAGCTAGGAATGAACATCACGCCAGGACAGCAAAAGAGTGGAAAATCCCCAGGCTGCTTCCTCGCTGCTGCTCCGGCTTCAGCTCCAGCGGGAGGAGCAGATGGGAGCAGAGGCTGTTTGGGGAGCCGGGAGATCCTGTCCTTGCAAAACAAAAATTATCCACTGCAGCCAAGCTCTGGATCTGCTTTTCTGCCCTTTGGCACCCCAGTTGCACCAGATTCCTTGAGGTTTCAGGGGCTCCACTCTTTTTTGCTCACTCATTTTCCCATCCAGCCGGTGCAATAAAAGCAGTTGCAGCAGAGAGTATTACTGGCCAGTAATTGAAGCCCCATCCAGGGCTTGCACTGTCCTCGGTGACCTGGTCACCCGGACAAAGCTTTTCCAATTGCTTCTCCAGCTTTCTGTCCAGGGGAAGATGTCGCTGTGATCTGCAGCCTTCATTACTTCGAGCTCTTCATTCTCCCAGTCGTGGCTTAAAATGAGTAATGGCTCGGCTGGCTTTGTACCTTCCCGGTAGCAGGAAAAAACGGGAATCATGAGCTCGACCGATCAATACTGCAGCCGGATACTTAGCAAGGCTGAATTTCTTGTGCTTTTACTACTCTTGCATACTGGTACTGCACCTCACTGCCACAAAATACTTTATAAACCTCTTTCTCCACTTCATATGGGCAGGAAGGTGTAAAAAACCACCTATGCCTGAATCCAAATGCCACTTTGTAGTTGAAAAGTGAAGAATCCGCTGTTTTTCTTTGGGCTGGGCACTGCTTAGAGGGAGGGAAATGGCCTTGCTGCTAAGGAGCGGGCTCCTGGCACAGATGCTGGGGAGGCGGTTTGGACATACGGGCATGTGTGGGTGATTCTGCATTCATGTTAACGCAGACAGAACCGAGCCTGAACACTAATATACAGCACACAAAATGCTAGGCAGCTCTGCAGGAGCCTGAGAGGGGAAAATATATCCTGCGATCCAGGGCTGGGGCTGCTCCGCACACGATGTGTGGGAATTACACTGGTGTTTCCCGTGCCGACTGTGCCATACAGCCGGAGTTACGGTGTGTCTAGTGTGGGAAGAGCTGCACGGGGTAGCACCAGGGGGGATTTGCAGGCGGAAAGACCGAGCAATAAACCTGAGGGAGCATGAATGACTGAAAACCAGTAATAATAATGCAATGAAGGAAAGGGAGGGCTTTTTGCACCGGGAGAAGGGCAGAACAGCGGGGCCGGCGTGGGCGGCTGGGCCTGCCCCGCGTGGGTGACTCTGGGGACACGCTGTGCCGGGGACACGCTGTGCCGGGGACACGTCGTGCTGCAAGGACACGGCCGTGCCGCCGAGCTGAATGCACAGGGAAAGCACAGGGCAAAGGCCAGCGGCACCCAGGGCTGCGGCTGCGTCTCCTCCGGTTCTCCTCATGGACAGGCGTCGGAAAAGAGAGCGCCTGTTGCAAACACTTTGTCTGGAGGCTGCTGGAAATCTGCTGTGCAGGGGGAAAATGCAACTTTTAGCATTCAGGCAGGTCCTTCCCTGGCTCTTATGGCAGCAGATCCGGGGATTTTATTGGGAAAAAGCCTTTGCTCCAGTCACCTGCGTCGCCGCTTGGCTCCGGGCTGCTCAAGGGCACGAGCGCATGGGGCTGCCAAGGGCAATAAGCAGGAAGGAAACAAAGATCCCCCCTTATCCTGGGAATGCAACGAGCTAAAGGGACATCCTCACGCCATCCGAATGTCCCAGTCCCATTGCTCAACACTGCTGCCTTTTCCCAGGGTTTGGAAAAGGGGGATCTCAGGGATCGTGGGTGTCTCCATGCTCTCCTTGGCTGCACCCGCAGCGCTGAGAAGGGCAGGAACTCATTTCACCAATGGAACCAGACCTTCCCCAACAACACCCGGGACCAACTGCTTCCCTAAAGCCCAAATCCCACAACAGGGCGATGAGCCCCAGCCCTCTCGGCAGGCCGGGCACAGGGGCGACGGAGCAGGAGGAATCCTCACTTGGAGACAAACAAAATTAAACCATCCCACAGCAAAGAATTATTCTCAATCAGCTCATTAGATGCAGCAGGCCCCTTTTGCCAGCAATTAGGCATTTATCCTTATTTATGGTTGCCAGAGGAACTCCAGCCGCTCGGCTTCCCGAGAAGGCTCCGGCAGCAGCGTTTTATGGGCTTCACTCAATTAAAAGTGATTGAAGAGCCCAGAGCAGCGTTTCTGCTGCGAGAGATCCCTTTGGCTTGCAAACAACCAAACACATGGATCTAGGAGGAACGTATCCATGCAATTCCATGACAGAGAGAAAAGACCCATTTCGGGGGGCAAGCCCCGCTTTGCCCCGTTTTCCAAAGCCTTTCCCCACCGTAGCAAACGTGCACGGATCAACCCCCATGCGGCTGCTTCCAGCTCCCTCCCAAGCAGGTGTTGCATCCCACCAACGCACGGGCAGCGGAGCAAAGGGCCGGGAGCGTTTTCCCGGGAGTGCCTTCATCCCAAAGAAGCACCGGGACGCAGGGCAGCAGCTCCCCGCTCGGTGCGGGCCTGAGACACCCTTTGTCCCGCCGGCGCTGGGGACAGCCCGGGCGATTGTTGCGCAGCGGCTGTCGGTGGCAGCCGCCGGCGCGGGCGCCGCGTCCCGCTCCTCTCCCCGCCGCCGTCCTGCCAACAAGCGGCGCTTTCAGGGCGGGCACGGGGAGGCAGCCGGGGCCGAACGCGACGCGGGCAAAGGCATCCGTAGAAAAGGGTTTGATTGCACCTGCAAGCAGCGGCCACGTTACCTGCAAGCAGCTCCCGCCTGCCCTGTTTCCCTGTTCACCTCAATCCCTGCGTGGCTTTGGAGCGAGTCCCGCACGGCCCCGGTTTCCCGCATGGCCTGAGTGTCGCCTCCATCCTGCGCTCTGCCAGCAGTTCCAGCGCCTGCTCCGCGCGTCACAGAGAAACTCCCGAAATTCCGCTTCCTTCCCAGCTCCCCCCGGACCCGGAGCAGAGACTGGGGACACCTCAGATAGCATCAGCCCTCTGGAAAACCGCAGGATGATGGATGCGCAGGGAGCAACAGCCAACGCTCTCATTTCCTCTTGCGGAAACCAGCACATCCCGGCGGCTTCCCGGAGCCTGGGTTCTCATCAGGCTCCTCCACGGGATCCGCTCCATCCACTGCCTTTTCCCGCCGCACAAGCAGCCAATTCTCCGCGACGCCCCAACGGGATGTGGGAGCTTTAAAACCCAGACCAAAGGGATGCGTTTGAAGAGGTTGGCGGGAGGGGGAAGTCGCTCCTGCTCCGAGGGCTCCGGGAGCCGGGTCCTCGCCCGTGACGTGATGCGGGTTGTCACAGCTCCCCGCGCCGTGACGCCGCAACGAGGGCTTTCCTGCAGCCCAGGGGGAAAAGGCAAATGAGGCAAAACGGGCGCGATCTGCAGCGGGGATCCCGGGGCTAACGAGCTCCGGAGCTGCCACCACAGCCCGACAAGTCGCGTCCCCATCCGGGCTGCCATGCGGGCAGGTTACAGACCCCAGCACAGGGCTTTGGGCCACACTGTTCTGCAGTAAATACTTCCTTTATGCTTTTGCTTTGAAAATAAAGCTTAGGGTTGAAAATAAAGCTTAGGTGCAAAGGTTTGCACGTGAGCATCAAGCAAGGCCTGGGGACACAGCTCCATGTCCCCGCCGGCTCCTGCGCATCGCTGCCCTGCGCGCAGCCCCTGTCCCCTCTGCGGGATCTGCCACCGGACCCGTGCAACAGGTGCCCCCAGCGGGACGGTGACACCCCGGCCGTCACCCGGCGAGCGGGCGGTACTTACAGGCGCCCCGGCCCGCCAGCTGTCACCGCTATCCCCTTACACTCATAGGTGGCACGAGCGGCATCACCAGACACCGCGGCGCTCGGGGACCGTATCCCACCGCGCATCCCCGGCTGCGTGTCCCGGCACGAGGGGGTGCTCTGAAATCCCGCATGGATTTTTACACTCCTTTAAAGCAGCCCTTGCTGCAGGGAAACTCCCTTTCCTGGTATTTCTCAGCAATGCCGGAGAGGTCGCACTGACAAATTTCTTGGCATGTTGTGCGAAGAGGCTCATTAGAAAATTCACAGCCTTCGCGCCGCGGTCATTAAGACTGCCAGCTCCATCTGCCTTTGGAGCCCCCCTCCAAACCAGCAATCAGTTAATTGGTAGAAGCATTTGGCTTCAGCACGACACAACAGGCACAAAAGCAGCTTTTAACCTTCAGGACTGAGTGCAGGATGCACAAAACTCGCTCTAGGTGTTAAGGGAAAAATTAACTAAAGGGCTGCATGTTGAAAGACGAGGCCGACGCTTAATATTGGTGTTAAAATAGCGAGTTTGCAGGCGGAGGGAGGCCGAGCTCCTCCTGCAACCTTTGTTCCGGAGCTGCTTCCAAGCTGCTCCGCGGATCTGCTGTCATTGGCGTCAGCGGTGACACCGCGCGTGGACGGCTCTGCTGCCCGCCAAAGCAGGAGCAAAAATCGTGGGTTTGCACGGGGAGAAGGGAGAGGCCGGCGCAGAGCCGCCTCTGAATGACAGATAAGGATCCAAG